GCCAATGCGCTTTGACGCGCTAGACGACCGCAAAATAGCTTCCATTTCAAAATCAGGAAGCCGACTTGTGTACCCAGAGTGCAGAAAAGCTGAGTAATGGCGTGGTTGATACTGCAGGACAAGCGGTGGTCTCGATGGTGAGTCTATCTTTCCGGCGACCACTTCATCCATGAAAACATCCACCGACAACGAATACTCCGCCCACGTCTCGACCACGCTGTGGTGACGTGAAACTGTAGTCGGAACGTACTTGACACACCGCCACTCCTGGGACTCTCCATCATTACGCTGAACAACACATATGGCCCGTTTTAAAAAATTGGATGCCATGCCTACAGTATCACTGCCGCCCCATGCGTCTTCGGGTACGCTTTCCGTCCTAATGGACGTACTCATAGCATAATCGTCCAGGTACCACCGAACTTGCGAAGCCGACTCAGCCCGTGTCATTTCCGGCCACCCCCGGCAGACATTGGTCAAAAGATTAACTCGGTGGTCGTGGGCTAGCTGACCCTCCAGATCTATGAGACCCGAATACTTGATCCCGCGTTTCAGGCAGGCCGTAAGGCATTCGAGTGTCCTGCCCGGGTCATCTAGATTGGCGTCCACTGCCGCCTGAGAAATTGCCATGGCCAGGCAGTTCCCGGTTGCGGGGGTAACCGCTGATCTGAGCCCAAGTTGTTGTTCCAGCTCCACCAGTGAAGCCGGGGCGTTGACTGACCGGGCGCCTATAGGTAGAGCCTCCGTTCGCTGCTTGGTCAGACTTTGGACCAGCCGTCTAAAAGAATTCCGCTCTGTACGCTGGCGAGTCAGTAGGACCGGTATTGGTGAAGTCGGAGCGGGTCCCCGCTCCCGGCCGGCTTTTTTCCGGTGGGACCGGTTTGAGGTGGTTGGGATGTGGGGGGATACCGTCCGCGACGGAGCCTGCTCGTGGATCCCAGCAGTTGACTCTGATGACGAGAGAGGGGCTGTACTCTTATCTTTACGCTTATTGGCCGTGGCCCTGTCCGCGTGCTGGGTTTCTTCGACATTGTTTTGTGCACGATTCTCCCGGTCTGTGGGGCTGGACGCAAACACACGAGTAATCAACTTTTTTGCGCGTCCCTTCTTGGATAGGCTGGTAAGCCATGGGTGTTGATCCACCGGTTTAGGTTGTGGCTGTACATGCTCGAATTTTTTTCCTTGCTCAACGTGCGGTGCGCTGCTGACTGTGCTGGCGGCGGGAGGTGGGACTGGCACTGTCTCTGGAGACGCGCTTGCCCCCCTCGGACACGGAGGCGTGACAGCTGCTTGAGCGGCCTTTTCTGCCGCCTCCTGTAGAGTCAATCGTCGCGCCGCCATGGCACGGATTTCGTCTAGACTGGAGAACGGTTTAGCTAGGTCCTCTAGCTCCCGCACGTCCGCTTCTTTAACGACTAATCCTCCGGGACCTCGTAATAAGGCATCGGTGAAGCCACACCGGGCGATCGTGTGCCCCAGATTTCCACATAGTAGACATTGCAGCCGATGCCCTACGTTTGGGTGCTTGACAATGATGGTTGTGCCAAACCATAGGAGTCGCACTATCCCATCGAGAAAAGTAGGGCAACCGGCCAGTTTAAATGTCACTCTCCAGATTGTTGACGTCCGGGAATTCGGCGTATGTGTATCCAGGTCTTCCATCTCAAACTCGGTTGGTATGTTTGCCTTAAAATATGCCGCAATCCTGCCCACGTCGCTAAAGCGGGTTAAATTATGGAGATGCACGGTGTATTCCACTCGCCTGCCTTGTTGTTTGCCATTCAACCCTTGCTGCCGTCTCCAGATCGAACCGTGGTCCGGTCGGTGGGCATTTTGAAGTCGGTAAACAGCTCCTCGGAACGGCACCCGTACATCCTTGTGGCGTTCAGCCGTCGTTCGTGTGAAAAAATAAAAGTGTATGGTCTTGGTCACGTGATCATACCCTATCGTCTTGGTCTGGCTTAGCATTAAATGAAGGTCTTGAAGATTTATCCTCGCGAGCTCCGCGCTTTCTAGAATCGCCTCCGTTAAGGCCTTCGTCGTCCGCCTACTGAGTGGGACAACGCGAGCTCGGTCCAGCTGGAAAGTCAATTCTCCCTCGACTTGTGCTTGAATAGTGCTGTATAAGCGCAGCCTTTCCTCACTCTTCAGTACTTGATGGATAAAATCTGGCATGCGCCGGCATGCCACGGTGCCTTCGACGAGCCCCGTAATTATTGCCCATTCGTCGTCCGTTCCTGCTCTGACTTGATGCTGCCCTGCACGAGCCGCCGGTGCTGCACAAAGTGATTTAAGACGCGTAATGGTATCCCGCGAGAAAGCAGAGGGGTCAAACATGAAGTCATCGTAACGTGGAGAGAGGTTGGAGACTTGCGGATGATCGGTGCGTGGAGCAGGCGCCCCCTTACTAACCACCTGAGCCCATTGATTTAGAACCGGTGCTTGAGTCCACTTGTGTTGACTTGCGAGGCGCCTTATTATCTCTTTGAAAGCCCACTTGGTATTTAACCATTCATGCGCTATCGCAGTCGCCAGTTTCTGCCAGTCAGAAAATGTGCCTTTACTCCGGACGAAGACTTGTTCAAAAAGCCCGAGTAATGATGCAGCCTCTGCTGCGTGAATAGCCGGAAACCGCTTCCTTGCTGCCGGCAAAGCCTCCGTTTGGACCGGCACGGTCTTATAAGCCTCGGCAAATAAGTGTCTGATTGTGGTGCGCCAAGCTTCCACTTGTCCCTCGTTTGGAGACTCGGCCATGGCCTCCACCAGGGCCGCAAACATCTCGGCCGAAGTTACAGACTTTTGGCTTGGCTGTTGCTCCAGTCTGGTCGGAAGGGAATCTGATGTCCTATGGGTCACTCCGCCGAGTGTGGCCCCTTCCGCCTCGTCTGTCCCGAATGGACCTGTCGTCGTCGCTTCGGCGCGACCCTTAGGGTCCGTGTAGTCTGCCTGAATTGGCCCTGGATGGTTAATACTCCCTGAACTCGCCGTGGAACGCCGCTGGCTTGCAGGCTGGTCCTCTTGATCCGGGACCATGCTGCCGCCATCCATCCCCGAGTCCGTCTCCGAAGATGCCGCTGCGCGAGGCGGTATCGCCTCCGTTTCCTGTCCTCCCTCGGGGGGGAGCATGAGGGGCGGCGACATCGCGCTCTCGTCCAACCTTAAGGTCACCAAACTTGTCCTGTTTATACTCCGCCTTAACCAGGTGGTCTCTGCTCTGCAGATTGGGGAGTTTTTGTCGAGAGTATGCGATTACCACTCCATGCATCTTCCCTTTGCACTCTTCCACTATCGGCGAGCACACTATCGCAAAGAAAAACCCAAACGAGCGACCGATACTCCGATTCCAATCAAATCGCGCCCGTATGCATCCGTCACATGCTCGCGATATCGTACAAAAATGAGTGATATGCTAAACAAGTGACCCATGGATGAAAAGCGCTGACGACGTGGCGCTGAAACTCACGCTTTGTCGAGATTGATGTAATTTCTGTCGACAAGAGGATCGCACAGCCAAAACGCGATGATCACGAGGCGATGGGAAGTGGCATTCGAAGGTGTGCAATCGAAAAGTTGCATGTGATGGCGAACAAGCTCCAGCTTTCCAAGCAAATATCGTGGTTAACTATTTCCAAGCGACCTGCTCGATTTTGAAACTACTCGTCTTCGACTGACGTTATAACACAGCTCACGGCATGCACTACCTCTAGCATCGGCGCACATGTATCGAGAATAGAAGCAACACCGTTGAGCGGAGCGGCGCCCATCAAGTACTCGTTCGACGGGTCCAGAGCGCCTAAAGGTTACGTCAGAGCATATCGCCGTCGAGCGAAAAAGTTATAGCATGAGTAATGGACGACCGATGTCGCAGAACCAGAAATCCGTTACCGTGACAGACACAAAGATCTTACGTGGATCGTAGATGAAAGCACTAGCAAACGCGGTACATCGTTTACTTTCCACTTTGGTGCGATGTACGTTTGATCGCAGGGACGAGTGCATTCCTGGTCCCACACAACCACTGCTACGCAGATCGTACAATACTGTCCAAGTATCGGTCTGACACCCCGTTGAGCGGCATAATATGGATGCGATGCGCTGTACTCGCTACTTTGGACGCAGCGTCGACCTACTTACAGAGTATGTGGGATCAACCAAGTGTACCAGTGATGTCGTCTGCTGGATTGCACCTGGCAGGACGTGTGACGAATCAACCCGTTACACCGGATGTAGAATCGCATGCGACCCCAATCATGCCACCGCATAATCAGCTGTCGCGACGAGCACGTATACAACAGCGTCTGCTTGCACAGCATACTGGACCACGAGATTCTAACGAGCTCAAAACTCGGGGGCAATGAGATATGTTGTAGCTCGGCTTTACGAGGTTATCGGGACGGGAGACGTAGCGGAACGTAGACGCCAACTTCAATGCACGAATGCGGAGGTCTTTAGCCGACTTGGCGTTGTCCGTCTTATGAGTAGCGCGGACTGACCTGAATGCGGTACGATCCTTGCGCCCAGTGAAGATCTGTTGCGCGGGGCTCTAACGATTTCATCGAGATGTCGTCTGCATGACCGGCGATGTCGAAAGCAATCGAGCGCGCTGAGTAAAGCATGATGATGATGATGATGCTAAGTATGTCTTTCAGTTGATCGACGAAAGGAATTGAAGAGGAACGGAAGTTGTCGCGCGTGTGGCCGTCACATGGCATTGACGTGTAGTAAGTATCCGTGGCATCGCGAAGATTATCTCGACGGCTGATGACGGTTATCTTGGATAGTACGATCGAATATACGACTCGGCAACTTTGGGTAACGAGTTGATCTGGGTCGTTGGATCATTCTCGACCTCATCAATCGCTCGAACGTCAGATCCCTACAATGTGTGCAACATCGTCGTATTAAGTTCCACGAGTCTTCCGTGCCACATTCTTTTCTCAGCTCTATTCTATCCCTATTCGACCAGCTCCGTTTCTAATTACGCAACTGGTGCTGAAAAAATGGCGGGAACGCTACGTCGCTACTTCACGGCAGCGTCCGCGGCGTTCACGTGCATCCGGAACGACACGCAGCTGCTGCAGAAGTCGCAGCACTTATACGATCAACTTGTGCCATCAGCTGCGCGCACGAACGTGGACGAAAGCGCTGTGCGCAGTGGAGAGATCGACTCTGATCAGATTTGGGCTTTGGTGGCTGTGGTAGCTACTGGAATGACGCAGGAGCTTGCAAACGAGGCCGAAGAAGAAGGAGGTGGAGAGAGCGAAGAAGGAGAGGGATCGAAGGCGGTGAAGTGGACTCTTGTGCAGCTTTTGGCCGAAGCAGGTGTTGGGGTGCAGGAGTTCTTGCGCTACTTCACGAGTCTGTTCAACCGCCTGCTGTTGGAGCCCCGACTGCTCGCGGCCACAACGCTGCTCAAGACGGAGTTCACCATTGACACGCTACTGTTTGAAAAGTACCGTGTGCTTTGGCGAACGTCGATGCAGACGGACTCGACGCAAACGAGAGACCACGCGACACCGCTGCACGGACCGTTTTCAAACCCGGAACCCGAGCAGCCAGTGGCTGACGACGAGCTGCAGACTGGTGCGGAGGTACAGTCTCGCCATCGACTGTTATTTGAAGGAGGGTGGGTGCTGTTTCTACTGGCGAAACGGAGACTGACAAGACAGTATTCTGGACTCGGACAACTCTACACATTGCTCTTGGCGACCCTTCATTTGGTGCTCACTAATGCGACTCGGACGGCTCACGTGACTGTGGAGGCGGAAGTTGCTGCAGCGCTGAGTGCACTGGGAGACCTGGGCGAGGGAAGAGTGTCGCCAATGAAGTCGAAAGCTGAAGGAAAAACGAGTGCGCAGATTCTAAACACTTTGTGTGCAGCGCCGAGAATCAATTCAGCTGACGTCTTGCGCGCATCTGACCACTTGGAACTTGTTCTGCAGCAGCTGAGCAAGGAAGGTGTGGTGCAGCACGGGGCTAGGGAACTCGCGGTGTCGAGAATGACACTATTTGGTGATGCTGTGCTTGCAGAGAACGTGACGCGGCTGTCGGAGAAGTATGAGCAGCAATATCTCGACCGCTGCGGCAGTCTAGACGAGCGCTTCTTTCTAGACACACACATTCGACAGACCATCATGGGGGCGAACGTTGCTGGACAAACGGGTAAAGGCGGTAGCGAGTCCACGACGGCATCAAGTGGTGGATTGAGTACAAGCCGAGGCGTTCCGCATGATATGCTGTCCCCTGTGCGGCGCAACATGGTGGCTAGACGACGAGGCAATGGTTGTACTCCTGTCACAAGAGGAATGGTGACACCCCCTCGACACCGTCAGCATCCTTTCCACGGTCGTGTAAATTCGCCGTTGATGCATTCATGGCAGTGGCAAGGTTCGCCTGGAGGAAAACACAGGTCTTCTGCCGATGCAAGTCTTCGCTTATCGCCGTGCTTTCTCCGAACGCCGATTACTTCAGCTGTAGAGACAAACAACTGGGTGCGGGATACACTGTCAAGCTCAATGTCGACACCCGTAACGCCACAGCTTCATCGGCTCTTTGCTGATTGTGTAGTGGACCCGACAGAGCGTATTGCGCGTGTATTGCGTGACCACTCGGAACTGCTGTTGGCAGCACGCAAGACAGGTCGGGTTACATCGGGTAACACTTGTCCGACATCGTTGACGGTGGTTGGAGATAACGAAGACGACGTCAATGATGACAAAAGTGACACACCATTTTTGTCGGGCGTGGATGACAGCTTGAATCGGACGAAAAGCCTGACCGTCGTGCTTTTTTACCGAGTGCTGGAGTCATTGCTACTGTCAGAGCGCGAGCGACTACGCACGAACGACTTTTCCAAGCTGCTCAACAACGAAGTATTCCTCGCGGCGTTGTTTGCATGCAGCGCCGAGGTGGTGCTCAAAGCCCACTCGCTTATCACGATTTCGTACCCGTTTTTGCTCGCGCACTTGCACGTAAACGCTTTTCATTTCGTGACCACGAGCGAAAGCTTTGTCAAGTACGCTCCGAGCCTGCCTTCTGGTTTAAAAAAGCACATGGGTGACGTGAAGAACTGCGTATTGGACTCGCTGGTCTGGAAATCAGATTCTGCGCTGTACCAGCTTCTTGCTGGAGCTCGACGCTCCGCCAGCTCTTTCGGTACAGCTGCTTCCCCGAGTACCCAAAGCTTAACAGACCGTTCGAACAAGGCTGGTAGTAATGGTGTTCTGCATGCGCCTGTGCTTCGTCTCTTTTTCCGGATGGTGTTTACCTGCGCAGCATCCAGGATTCATGAGCTCTGCAATATGTTGGGCTTGGACTCGGCGGACCAAAACCAGATCTGGACTGCAGTGAAGGAATGTATCACATCACACCAAGAGCTTCTGCGAGACCGTCACTTGGATTTGATCATACTGTGCAACATCTATGCCGTATGCAAAGTGTCGCGTGGCCCGGACGTTTCTCGTGCGGCGGCGACCATGTCCTTCAAGCGCTTGCTGGCATGCTACAGGCAGCTTACCCGGCAGTTTCGGACCGGCACGACTTTGGCAAGTGCAAGTCCGCTTGTTTCGTCGCGCAACAGCGAAGGTGTGACGCACGACATCGTTCTTGACGCCAAGGGTTCTCGGGGAGACATTATCAAGTTTTACAACCGGTGTTACATCACGTCCATGAAGAGCTTCATACTGCAGTTTCAGTTCCAAGAGTCACAAATGGCGGCAGCTGATGCTGTCGTTGCGGAGGCCTCGAAAGGGTCTCGAGTGCTAACGCCAGGATTCTCTTCCAGCAAGTGTAACATGGGCGTGGCAGAATCTACTTCGGACGCAGAATGTATTGCACGAGCTGCATCGGAAGCTGTTCAGCAGCTTTTTCAACCTCACGGCAACCCCAGCATCGACACCCGTGGCCGAAGCAGCATACCCCCGAGCACGCCACCTCGTCCCACTTGCCGCGGTGTGCGATCGTTGTCTTTTGCTTCGTCGCCAGCCGCATCGGCGCTGCAGATGTTCACTACAGCCGAAGTGCAAGCGCTGCCTGTAGCAATGTACCAGGTATCACCCAAGCGCGTCGAGTCCTCGAACGTGTACATGTCTCCATTGCAACAAGTACGACTGGATCGGCGGTCGCAGCTAACACCACGTTCTCATGCTCTTTATGCGATCGGCGAGAGCCCCGCGCGGGTACGTCCTCGACTCTCGATTTTCCTTGCTGGACGAGCTGCTCACAACAATTGTTATGACCGTATCGCAGGACCTCGCGTTGATCAACCGCGCAGTGAACACAGTACCTGCTAATCTGCGTCGTGTACATGCCCCCGACTTTGTGCTGGAAAGCGACACCGAACAGGGCGGCATGAGCGCCAGCCGCCGTATCAATCCTGTCCGCAAAAAACAGAAGACAGCGTCGTAGTTAGTCGCAAGCTGTAAATTGTAGTCGAATGCTCTGTAGATTATGCGCAGTACGCAGCAAATGTTCCCGTGTTCCCGGCTTTCCCCTCTTGTGATCATGTTGCAAACCTGAGACACATCCGTTCCAACAAGACTCGACTCGCACGAAGCAAAGGTGACCTGGAACAAAAACTATTATCGTGCTGTGGCTACTGTAACCCGTCTGTCGACTTCTCCGTGTTGAATAATACATTGTCGAACTGCTCAATTTGTCCAGTCACTTTTGCTTCAGCACCATGACTCTTACATGTACGCACGCTTCCCGAGGTATCTGAGACCGATTCGCCTCGCTTAAATGGTGGTAGCTTCAACGTCCGGTTCGTCGCTCTCGCTGCTATCCTGACCGTTCAGCATCGGGTGGACAATCTCGTCTTCGCTGCCCAACTCGTCGGCAACGGGGTCGGTATCGCTAGCATTCAGTCGCCCGCGCATTGCCGCGCCTTCTTGCAGCTGTCGCACCAACCATCCCTCGTCCGCCATGGAGAGATCGTCGAATGTTTCGCGAGTTCTGTCATAAGCGAAACTAAACTCGTCAAAGTGCGACCCATCGTTGGCATTCGTGACCGTCGTTGCCTTTCGGCTATTGATAGCCTTGGGATTCTCGCCAATCGTGTCGGTCACATTCATGTTGCGAAAGTGCTCGTGCACATTCTGCATCAGCTCTTCCGTCGGCGGGATGAAAGGTGGCTCCACCTCCTTGAGCTCCAGCTGCTCCCAATTGATCGTTGCAAAGAACGGGTGTGTGCGCACCCCGTTGATACTAATGCGCTCTGACGGATCACGAACCAGCAACTTCTGAAGCAAATCAATGGCATCTTCGTCGATGGGTGGGTACTTCTCGTACTTGACGTCCGCCGTCTGGATCTTCTTGTACATTTGCGAGATGTTCGCATCAAAAAACGGAGTGCCGCCGGTCAGCATTTCATACAGCAGTACACCGTAGCTCCACCAATCTGCTTCCATGCCATACTGCGGCTTCTGGGTAAGCAGTTGCTCCGGAGCAATGTACGCAGGCGACCCAGCCAGCGTCCCTGCCTGTGAGTAATTGTGGCTCCCCGGCTCTCCTTCGAGGCGTAGCTGCTTGGAGATCCCAAAGTCCACCAGACGAATGTTTCCCGTCTTGTCAAGCATGATGTTGTCAGGTTTCAGATCGCGGTATATAATACCGTGCGCGTGCAAATACGAAAGAGCAATCGCGAGTTCAGCAGCGTAGAAACGCGCGCGCTCGACCGGGAACCGCCGACCGCTGCTCGTGGACACGTTCGGGTCCATCTTCGACGAATGCATGTGCAAATACAAGTTGCCGCCCTTGTAGTAATCCATTCCGAGGTACAGCTTTGTCTGCGTCTGAAACGCAAAGCGCAAGCACGTGAGAAACGGGTGCCGTACGCCCGACAAGATGCGCCGTTCCTTGAGCGCGCTCTCGGCGCCAGACTGTTTGTCAATGATCTTGATGGCAAAGTACTCGTCGGGGTTCAAGTGGCGCTGCACCAGCACGACAGTGCCAAAGCCGCCCTGACCCAGCACGCCCACGACATCAAAGTCCGAGAACGACAGCGCCAGCGACCGCTTCGTGAGACAGTACTGGTGGAAACACGCAGCGTGCTCGGCAATGACCATGGGATTCGTCGTGACTCGACGAGCGCGCGTTCTCGACGCGTTGCGTTGACGGAACGACAGCACGACGCGCGAAATGCGCCGTGCCGGCGTGAACGTGATCAGCAGCCCAAACTTCCCGACTGTCGTGGAGCCCGACACGGTGTTGACCAGACAATGGCCCGCGTGGGCGAACGCGTGGTGGTCGTCGTCGTCCGCTCGGTGCGCCGGGCGGTCGTCCGCGTCCGCCACGAGCAAGTACTTGCTCGCATAGAGCGCTGCAAAGTGGACAAAGCCTTCGCGGCCGTGGTAAATGCCCTTGAACACGCACGACGGCTGCGTCGTCTCGCACGTCTCGAGGTCGAACAGGAGCTCCACGTCTTTGCTCAGCTGCCGCAGGAACGACGGCAGGCGCTCAATGACACTCTCGGGCGACGCTGCCGCCAACAAGAGCACGAGGTCCGCGAGGAACTTCTCCGCGAGGCGCGTCGTGATGGACGACTCGAGCGACACGACGTCGTCGGCCGAGCGCAGCGTGGGCGTCCCGTCGCCCCGTGGCCGCGTATGCGTCACGAGCGCCTCGTCTTTCGGCTTGGGGTTGTGCAGACTCAGGTGCATCATGTGCATCCACATGGCCTTCTCGACGGCCGACGCCGCGATAAAGTGGATCATGTTGCCGTTCGTAGCGAGGAAGCTGAAGCCGAGCTCTTCGGGCTTGAGCTTCGAGCCGCCAAAGCCGGCCGACGGGAGCGAGCTCAGGATCTGCTTGATGACCCAGCGCCCGCGGTGCTGCTCCTTGGCCAGCGCGTGGTTCTTGGACTTGTAGATCGACAGCACGCGGTTCTGCAGCGTGATGTAGCGCGGCGTCCAGTTCTTCACGAGCTTGCGCTGCTTGTAGAGGTAGCCCTCCCACTCGACTTCTTCGGCCGTGATGGTCTTGAGGTCGATGAGGTTGGGCGTGGCCAGCGCTTTGCTCGTCTCGCGCCGCGACGACCGACTGCGACTGCCGCCCCGTCGGCCCCGCGACAAGGAGCGGAACTTTGACGTCGACGTTGCGGCAGTCGGACCGCTGTTTTGGCTATTGCTGTTGTTGTTGCTGTTGCTGTTGTTGTTGTTGTTGCTGTTGCTACTGCTGTTGCTGGGCGGGACGCGCGCGGCTGCAGACGGCCGTCGCGCGCGCGGTGAGCTGGCGGCGGTCGTGGCGCTGCTGTCGTGCGTGGACGGACCGCTGAGCGACGACTTGCGGCGGCTGGCGGTGCGCGCGACGGCGGTCGTGAGACTGGACGCCGCGGGGGACGTGCGGGACATCAAGCGCGCATCCAACATGTGCGCCATGACGGGGGTGCGCGCTGTACTTGATGTTTGTAAGTGACGAATGCGGCAGACGAATAGGGGTGGGCCGCGTGCGGAAAGCAAGAGTGATGGTCGGTTCGTTCTTGAGCTGGTGACGGCGACAAAGAGACGATGTTGCGGTCGTTGTGGTTGTGGTTGTGCTTGTTAGTGTTGTTAGTGTTGTTGTTGTTGTTGTATGCAGCGAGCGACGGCCTTAGTCCATGAACAGCGTCACGTCGTCTTTTGAAACGACAGCGTGAAGGAAAAAGAAAGACACGGAGACTGGCGCTGAACGACGTGGTGGGGACGTGCCGCACGGTGCTCGTTTCCTCTTCTTTGCAGTCACGCGCTGTTTTGCTTTCTGACACGTGCGACGCGTCCAGCAGCACGAGATGCACCCCCACACACGCCTTCACAGTCTCGCTCGCTCTCTCTCGCTTGAGCTTCTCTGCAAGCGAGCTCCGGCTATGCGAGGGCAGACCTGGGATGACAATTTTCCTCGTGCAGATTCGATGGTGCAACCAGAGACGGCCCATCATCCGGCGGCGTCAGCCGCACGTGTGTCTCGTCTGCCTCGAAAAAGGCTCGTGAAATTGACGACAAGAGAGGGAGAGAGAGAGAGAGAGAGAGAGACGTATCCAGCTGCCAAGTTGACTTAACTCGGTCGAGCGTCGTTTCGAGACGGTAGTTGGGCGTAGCAGTGTGTGTGTGTGTGGAGGGGAAGCAAAAGCTGCTCGCCGCCAACGTGTTCGTGACAGTGGTCTTTGCAGCGAGTCCCTTCGAGGCCTCGACTACCTCTGCATCGCAACCCACGTCCTACTCAAGAGTGGACCGGCCAGACTCGTTGTAATTGCCTCATTTTTTCACTAGAAACCTCCACTTGCCGCCGTGGATCAGAAGCAAAGGGGATGGACCTCGTAGGATCACCAGACGGCAAAGCCACGTTGACTGGAGACTGCGACTGCCGGGACGAGCGACTCGGTGCACATTGATTGGGTGGGGCACCTGGTGCACTCGACTCCGCCGACGACCGCCGCGCTGGTCCCTGCGACAAAAAGCCGTTTCTTCCCGAGAGCCAGTCAGGCAGTGGCCGAACCAAGTAGGGTCCTGTCGATGACGAAGCGGTTTCGAGGTCGAGAAGGCGGGAAGGCGGGAACTCGTTGACTTTGCAGACAAATCCCGTGCTGTTTGGGTACCGATTTGCTATGGCTTCACCATACAAAGCCCCAGTCTCCCCCTCGTCTGTTTTGCACAGTGTTTCTGTGCGCCAAGAACACCGAGGCACAGAGCAGGACCAGAGTCTATCGCCGGGTCAACGACGGCGACTTTCGGGGGTCATGCATGCAGCCACTTTCGATCGATCATAGACGCGATCCGCTCCGGCCGTTCATTCAGAGATGGTCTCTGATATTTCGCGACGCGGAAGAGAAAGTGAAACGCTCGACGGCGTTACACGTTGTAGCAGTGCCCGCCTCATGGCGCCGTCGATTCCCACCCCTGTCATCCGTTCGCGTCTTTCGTGACACTGTGAGCTTATCCGGCAACTCGCACGTGTAGTCGCGTGCTTCAGGTGCGTGTCACGCGCGACCACTGTCTCGGTCTCCGTGAATAGGTGTAGTAGCAAAGTGATACGCAGACTTTTTGAGCGATCTTGATGGGGAGAGACGCGGGCGTCGGCAGAAGTGTCTCGCAGTGAGAGTGCGGTGTCCCCTGGTACAACAACGATCTCGCGAGCGTTCTCGTTATAGTATTTACGGCCGTTATACCAGCGGTCGTTCGTCCTGCTCATTTCGATGGGAACGAGAGAGAAAGAGACTAAGGCTGAGACTGTCAACTGAACGGCCTGTAACGTATGTCAACATGTCGTTAGGTTCGCTGATCGACAGCACACCGCCAGTGTCTTCAAACGACCCCGTAGTTGTCCGTGACCAGCAGCGATACTCGTGGATGTGTAGAGTCTGCCACTGGACTTTGCACCTTGCTTGCTATCCCGACAGACATGGCGGGCGGCCCTGAGCGCGGCCGACGACTCACCTGATACGCGTGTTGCCCGAGCAACGACACGTACGTAGCACGGGGACACGCCAGCAGTGGTCCTGAGACTGGCGCTAGTGCAGTCCATCGGACGTGAAGTGCGATCCTGAAGCGGTATCATGGGATAGCCTCTGGTCGTGGCATTTTCTTCGAGTCTGCTGCTCGAGCGACTAGGGGCCGCAGGCACTTCAGGTCCTGCAAGAGAAAGAGAGAGGATCTTTGCCAAAGGAGGCTGTATGAGACGAGGGACTGAGGCCAGGAACTGACTTGAGCTGAACTGTGGAAAGCGGGAAAGCACATTTGGATGAGAAGGTCGTCGATCGCTCGTCAAACGAGCTGAAAGGTGCTCGTTCTCGAGTGTGCAGACTTTTGTGCGCAAGTCGATGTCTCTTCGTCTCTGAGAATGTCTTCTGCCTCTTTTCGATCCCATCGTTAGGTCATCTTACTTGTGCTGTACCCCGGACAGCATTCGTAAAGATGAGCGGCGTTGCGGGTGCTCTGGCATCGTGTAGACAGACATTGCATCTATGCGGAGAGAGGAATTGTGGCAATGGCTCAAACTGGAGGTGGAGATGACGTGGCTTGTAAGCATTTGCCTGGAACTCGGTGGAGAAGCAGGACGCGTGAGGCTCTTCTGCGCGCGATTACACCTACTGAGGATCAAGCCCTTTCCACTCCCTTGCGGAGAACAGGGTACACATCAGACAAAGACCGTGCACATTGTCGCTGTGGTGATTCTGATTCTTTATATGACCTGTATCAGATTGAGCGCTTGCAAATGTGTAAGCTCGATTACGTCTATTTACCACGACCGACTGCTCGTATGCGGAACCAGCGAACTTGACGGAATGATAATCTTGCCATCGGAAGCGTCGGGTACGTTGGCATTCCATCTTCGTCGGTGAACGACTGCCGGCCAACCACAAAAGGCTATGACAGGTGCAACAATTTTCCTCGTCTTTCGTCGAGCACTCGTCATATCTGTACTTGGTGTCGCTGCCACAGTGGCTCTCGATATCGTGCAAGTGCAAAGCTTGCTCGGTCCTTTGCAATATTGTCAAAGGTCTCATCGACCGACGTCGAAGGCGTCTGAGCACGCATGATCACTTGCAGCCTCGGCATCAGCTTGTCGAACAGGCCACAAGAAAACGTCTGCGTCAAACCCCCCTGACAGCCATCTACTAGCGCGAAGTATGCAACTGACGACTTTTTGTCAGTCGCAAAACGTCTCGCTTCTTTATATCCCATACACACTCGTTCGTATGCGATAAAGATACGTTTCCGCGCGGCATGTTATCCTCAGCGATACTTAGCAACATCGACGTCATTTCGGTATGATCGAGTCTCACGGCACGTCATAACAGTATACGTTAATACAGGTTTATTTCCGACATAACGTTTTTGGTACGCTTGACAACTGCAAGACATGAATGAGCTCCGTCATGTGCACGGTGCGTCTACTCCTGACAAGACGAGCTGCTTATCATTTCTATAGCAGAAGTACATTAACGTGCGTCTGTACAGTTGAGGCCTGCCTGAAGCCAGAGACTGCCGCCGATTACGAGCAAGTGAGAGCAGCTATCGCGGAATACCTGGGCACCACGTGCACATTCTTTACGAGAGGTTTGCTTCTGTTGAAGTATGGTACATTGCGTATACTTAACCAAAGACATCTGCAATCCTGCAGGTCTTGTGGAATTATCAGGAGACCCGTTGCTTGCTGCCCACGTGGAGTGCATCCGAGTCACTGAGTTAGATGGCGAAGAAAGTGGCGATCCCGAGAGCGACGGCGTTTCGCGCTTGAACGCCCATTTGTTTGTGCACGTGTTCAAGCTCGGCAATGTAAGCGACTGCAGCAACGATAGAAACCAGTGGACGTGAAAAGGGCACGTCGACTCACTTTTTCATATTGTAGGAGAGCCCTGCAGAAGAGACTGCAGACGGCGACGAGAGCGTGACAACGTGCCAGCACACGAGTCTGCCCGCTGCGAGTTTTCAAGGGCTGTGGGATTCGCTCATTTTTGACTCGTCGGTGAAGCAGAATGTGCTGGACTATGCCATGACTGCGATGCTGTTTTCCGACCGTCGAGTGAATCCACACATCATCTCGTGGAATCGAGTGGTACTGTTGCATGGACCGCCTGGCACTGGAAAGACGAGTTTGTGCAAAGCGCTGGCTCAGAAACTCAGTATCCGTCTGTCGTCGAGGTTGGTTCGACTGGTGGCTCGGCTGGTGCCTGGCTTGTTGATGTGGTACTATTGACTGAGCGAATGGCGTTGTTTGTAGATTCCCCAACGCGATCCTCGTGGAGATCAACGCGCATAGTTTGTTCAGCAAGGTGCGACGCGTTCGATACAGTAGAAGACTGCACAAGACGACTATCAGTTGACGGGCAGTGTATTGGTGACAGTGGTTTTCTGAGAGCGGGAAGGTGGTCATGAAGCTTTTCCAACAAATCCAGGAATTCGCAGAGGACGAGAAATTGCTTGTTTGCGTGCTGATAGGTGGGCTTGCATGAGCGTAAGACGATCCGTGCTTTTGTGAACCTTCTCATAGTGTGTGCTGGCAGATGAGGTGGAGTCGCTTGCAGCTGCCCGAAAGTCTGCAGTGAGCGGATCGGAGCCGTCAGACGCTATTCGAGTGGTCAACGCATTGCTGACGCAGCTGGATTCGCTGAAGCGCTACCCGAACGTGCTTATTCTCACGACGTCAAACATCACTGAAGCTATCGATGCTGCATTCGTCGATAGAGCAGACATCAAACAGTACGACAAGTGCTGATCACTGTTCGATTTGCTTTGTTTGACAAGGTCGATATTCCATGTTGCTGCTATCAGATACATCGGACTTCCGTCGTGTCAAGCGCGCTATGAGATCTTGCGAAGCTGTGTTGAAGAGCTCCAACGTGTGGGAATCCTGCAGCCTAGCACACAGCCTCTAGCGATGCATCAAGAGCAAACGAGGAGACGAGCAACACGGAAGCGGGAAGTAGACCACATTACGGGCCCATCAGGTGCGGAAAATGGCAGCGAAGACGTATCGGCGAAGTTGTGGCAAGCGGCGGAAATGGCTGATGGGTTTAGCGGCCGAGCGTTGCGCAAACTTCCATTCCAGGCACACGCTTTCTTCGTGCAGGTACGACGTTGTCTGGTGTTTTACTTACGCATGCCGATGGATGAGCGCTGACACGGTATGTACTCTAGACTCGAACGCCAGGAGTTGGTGAGTTCATCCGTTGCTTAGTGCAGGCGATTGACCGCGAAAGCAAGCAGACGCAGCAGCTCTTATTGAAATAGAGTCCGAAGCAAATGGTATGCTCATCGGACCTCAACAACTTGTGGGCGCTGGACGCGTCTTCTTGCTTCACCTTTTCCTCACCAGCAAACACCTTCCACGCGTTTCCTTCGTTTGTCCACGTACCTTTTGTACGGATAGAGTTTGCAAAGAATATTGACAAACACTTGTGGAACTAGCGCACTGTTCAGGCGATCCCACACAGCCGCTGCAGCAGCTCATCGGTGACCGAACATGAAGCAGAGCGTGTCAAGCCAATGTACATGCAGGCAGACCTTCTTCGCCACGTTCGAAAGCAGTATATAGTTGTACCTCACTGAGTCCGACGGTATGGCATACGAATCGTCCTCTCCCTCCTCAATCAATACTTTGGACGCGAGACACTGCGCTGGTAGCTACTCGTGACACAGCTGGAAGTTCCATCAAGCTGCATCCGCCCACCACCACCACCACCTGCCAAGCGGCTACCAGCATCCGACGACGACGAGTTCACCAGCTTGCCATTGCAATACTCCTCCGTGACTGAACGCACGAGACCGTCCGATCCCGTCGTCGTCATTGTCTTGCGCTGGATCACATTCCCGTTCCGATCCGTGACCGTCGAGGACGACGAACTCGAAGTGGTCGAAAAGACTCGGCCAGCGAGTCCACTCCTGCCGTAGAACCCGTCACTGGTGGCCCCGCCCATCATCGACCTGCCCGCCATGCCACCGAATCCAGGCACGCCCATGGCCAGACCCATGTTCAGATCCACGCCGCTACTTCGCATCGCCATGAACGGATCGCCCGCACCCCATCTCGAGCCATAGCTCTGGCCACCTCCGCCTCCAAAGAAGGCGGCAAACGGATCGTTGTCGCCAAAAAAGTGGTCGAACATGTCGCGCGCTCGACGCGTCGAGTACCTCGTGGCCCGTTCGTGACAGGGAAACGGATCTCGCGGTGGCGCTGCACCGCCTGCCGACGGTCCATTATTAGCGTCCAGTGCCTCGTATTGCTGTCGTTTGACGGGATCGCTCAGCACTTCGTACGCTTCGCTGATGCGCTTGAACGCCTCTTCCGCCCGCGGGTGCGAGCGGTTCTTGTCGGGATGCCACTGCACCGCCAGTTGGCGGTACGCGCGTCTCACGTCCGCGTCGCTCGCAGCGCGCGGCAGACGCAGAACTGTGAAGTAGTCCGTGGACTCCAAGTGCAGAGGGACCGCGTGCGGGTCATCCGACGCGAGCGATGCGGCGCTGTCGTCTTCGGCTGTGGTGAGGTCGATGACGTGCGGCAGCGCCTTCGCTTGCGACGGCCGGAAGAGACCGTCTCTTGCGCCGGTGACTTTTCTGCTCGCAGGTCGTCGACACTTGGGAGGCGCTGCGTCGGCTCGCGGGGGTTTCGACGTCGTCCGCCGGCGGCTTCGGGGCGACATCTCTGGTGGAATTCCTCGACTCGACTGCCTTTGCGCCGTTTCGAGTGGCTCGTGGTGACCGATGGAGCGACATTCGAGAAACCTTTCGCGCGGGGCGCGTTTCGGGTACGGTTTGGTCTGGTGCTTTTTCTCGTTTGGTCCGCACAAAATAGAGACAAAGAGGTACCGTCTGGTGGGGGTACGTCCTGATCAGCGATCAGCAGGCCTCTTTGTATGCGGACATTTGTTTTTTTACGAATTTGACGCCGTAAATAATATTTCTGGCGAGCCGTAAATAACCTGGTGTGGAAATGGCTTAGAAAAACATAGAGGAAGATTGTGATTGGGAGATCGTTGGGAGCAATGCGCGAGTGAGCGAGTCCGTGAAAAATGTAAGAGAAAAAAAGTTAATGGACACGAGAAACGAAAACCCAAAATTGACTCCCACAATCTAAAAAGACCCCATCCTTTGCGACTAACAGCCAAACCAAACCCAAAGCCCTGGTACCCGCAACAACCCGTGGGAAAAGCTGGTACATATCATATGTCCTCGAAAAACAAGTGAGAGACCCCCTTTCTGAGCGACCATTCTCTAAAATATGGTGTTCGAGTCCCTCAGAGGAGCACCAGAGACCGCACTGTTGTCTCAGTGGAATGCCGCTTCTGTATTCACTTTCGCGAGAGCAGGCCAGGCGCAAAACGTGCGAGAACTACCAACACCAAGTATTACTCGGCCCCATTCCGAACCGACAACTACACGCAGCACCTGAAACAACAGCACCCCGAAAAGTGGCAGGAGTACCAAGGCCTCGCTAATGAACTCGAGAAGGGATACTTTGAGAATATTCGTCCCGTGAAGCACACGTTACATTCAAATTTTGGATCTCAACAGGTGCGGAGGCAGCATCCAATCAATGCGCCAAATGTCGACAAAATCATTGGAGACATGCTTTGGGATCCAGATGAAGTTAAGTGCGAGAGTCACACAAAGATGATGCAGCCGTTCGTTGACATTGCTAAAGGGTCTGAAGACCTTGGGGATGGAGAAGGAATCGACCGCTGCCGTATTGATATCAAGATTTCCCTGCAATTCGACCTTGCTATTACATATTTGGCAGCTGCATTCACGTTTCGTCAAAGTTTCGTAGCTTGCTGTCTACGAAGGAGTTAGCAGGATTGGGTTCGATTAGGCGTGCCAGTGACGCAACTATAGCCAAGTATGCTCGGTTCGCTGTTGCCATCAATTTAAAAAAGATTGCAGAGCTGTTAGAGCAGTATTGGACGTTATCTTTTGCACTGGATATGTCGACACACATAAGCACTTCGTGTCTCGAGATCCGTCCCCGTTTACATCTTCTTAATAATGGCATTCTCAATGTCCATATTTTGGCGATTCCAGTGTACGAACGACACACTGGCGAGGTCATTCTCGACTGCTTGTGAAGCGCTCGACGCTGTGCTGACGCAATGGCTTGACATCATCATTGGCACCTCTTCAGATGGCGAAAAGAAATGGCAGGCCGATTCAGCGGTTGTATCACCAGGTTCCAAAATGTTGCAAAGCCTGGTTTTATTCGAGTTTGGTGTGGCGCGCACCAGCTGGACATCGTTTACAAGACGCGTACATCCATTTCGGTGATGATGAGTTTCACGGGGTGTTGACCTCCATCATCTCATACCTTCGTCGACAGCAGAACCTGATCAGCGAAATAAGGACGGCTTGCCCAAAACCTGCTACCTCTCGTTGGGAGTCTATGAGCAAATTCGGTGGCTGGTTCAAGGCCAAACGTGTCCGTGTTCGTGCCTTCTTTGCCAAAATAGAATCCAGTCCGCACGCCGTCCGACCGTTGGTGGATTTACACCATGATTGCTGAAGCCTTTGCAGCACGCGCGGCGGTGACATTCACGCAGCTCCAAGGATACTCCGTCACGGTGGCAATGCAGCAAGAGCATTTAAAGAGTTTGGTGTTGTTCTACATCAAATGCGTCGGTGCAAAAGGTCCATTCCTGGCGGATGATGGTGAGGCGGACACACTGGACCCTAATGATAGGCATGTATCGACTTCCAAAAAGTTTGCTGCTGGTCTTGTCGAAGTGAAGAGTTTCATTGATGATCAGGGTTCATTCGTGCCTGAGATCCTTGCGACCATGGATGATGGAGAAGTGAGAGATGTTGTGGAAAACGTCGCGACTCTGTTCATCAATACGATCAACGGTATTGATGAGATTGTGGCTGAGCGAGATCCCAATAATCGAGGCGTGAATTCAGAGGACTCCAAACTTCCACCCGTTGCACCTTATGACCTGGTTTTGATTCGCAACTCCGAATTCAGTGCGATTGTGAGGAGTCAGAAGGAGCGCCTCCTGGCGCGTTGAACGCTCGAACAGATCGACTTTTATTGAGCAGGAGCACGGCGAGCTGTTGAATGCGGTGCGATGTGAACCTGCTCTCAAGTCGACATTAGACTCCCTCAATGGAGATTGTACTTCGATGAATCATGGGGTGTTGTCAAAGACAGGTTTAAGTATCTTCATCGATTCTGTGATGGAGTTGCTACTGTGTTTCCCGGCACGAGTCACGTTGAATCTGATTTTTCGATTTTAAAGAATGAAAAACACGGTTTTTGCAATAGTATCATCGATCTTTCGCTAGAAGGAGTGTTGCAGTGCAAGCGAATGAAAATTCTGAGCCTCACTGCCGGTTTTGGAGCTGAATAAACAGTGATCCGTATATAATATTTTGGTCAAGCCGTAAACAAGCTATTTACGGTATTTACGGTAGAATTCAAATATTGAGAGGCCTGGCCATCAGCGATTGTTTGTATCCCGACAGCTGTCGCAGGTTGCGTTTGGTAGTTGTTGAGTGAGTGAGGTCGTAAGACTGTGTTAACTGCTCTTTGGTACACCCTCTGATGTTGTTCACGTACGACTGTTTTCGCCATCTCGGCAACAGAAATGGGAAGTCTCCATGTACAATGGTAACTGCAATAGGCTGTTTGGCTGTACATGACCACTCAACACTGACGCGTTGAGCCAAGATTTCGGGACATTGCCCTACACAGGTCGTCTACTGAACGAGCAGAGGCTGTTCTTCTGCGCACTAGTGCTAGAGATGTTAGGTCGCACGGCCCGTACCCAGGCAGTCTTCATCCTTTGCATCAGTGTCAATACGATGGCTTTGTCTGTGAGTGTCGATGAGGCACCCGTCGTCACAATGTTCTATGTGACCCGCGCATATTTGACTTCCCTTTTGTTTGCTTTGTTGTGTGCCAGACTCGATATCCCCTAACTGTCGAATCCGACTGGGGCCAACGTGAGCCGTTGCATTCTTGGATCGCAGTGATGGGAATATTTCTTACCAGACAAGTCGACCGGCAGTGTCGAATGAAACGCATCATCAGGTTTTGGTTTGCTGTTGCTGCGGGACTCATCGATTCAATCTTTGCACTTCAGTTTTGCAGAGATCACTAGCTGCTGTACGTACGGACTCAAAAAGTAGTAGGCGCAAGTGTGAAGCATGATGCAGTGCTTATGGCGATCTACTGCTCCGAGCCGGTATGCGATTGCTCGCTGTCGCGTGCATTGGGAGATGCTTAATCACGCGAACAATGTATGGCATGCATGCATGCATGCTACGTACAATACGTACCTACACGTCTTGCGCCGCAAGTGTAGACGCGTATTATACCTCAACCAAAGTAAGATAACAGCCTGTCAATGAATGTTCCTAGTACCACGCGACTTCATACAACCAAGAGCTCGAGCTTTCACATCTGATCCCGATACGTAGCGTCACACTGGATACCAGTGGACTTCAACTCACAGCGACATCGTCTAGCCGCTCTTCGCAGCAGCACAGCATCGTGTACTGTACTTTTGTTCATCTCTGTCTGCGAACACGCCATGATCTATACCAGCAGCATTCTCGCCTGTACTATCTTTTTCCTGCAGAAACCTGCTGAATGTTGAAAGAGCAAGCAAAATGACCTGCGAACACGATCTCGCTATGCAGATCACCTGCAAGTCAGATACGACATCGCCTCTCGGAACGACAACCAGATAAACGTTTTGACTGGTTGCTGAGCTGACAAAGTGTCGTTGCCGACTCCATCGAGGCCCATTGTCGATATGTCCCTCCGATGCTGTTCGTGTTCTTCTTGGCTCTGGGCCCTATTATCTATCGCTTCTATCGATCACCCCTGGATGACTTTTTCTGACAATATATTGCACAAAATGACGCAAGTTCTCAAATAGTAAATGTTAGCTGGTAGTATATCATTCAGCCCCCCCCCCCTTTGTCGCTACAAACATCAAGTCTAAAATCATACTACAAAGCAAAAAGTAGCAGCCCTCGATAGCACTGCGCGCGGGACGAGCTCCGCCGCAAGTACTACCGGCTGTTCCTCGGATAATGCCGAGCGATGGCGTTCAAGCGCCTGACCCACTCGACGTGGATGCGCACGGCATTCCCATTTCCTGCGCCCATAGCCCGCAGACGGATCTGCCCGTGTGGCAATACGTTCACAAATTGACGACACCCGTCGCGAACGAAAAAAATGCCAGTCGACCGTATACGCACATTTGCATTCTGTGCGCCGCTGCCCCACCACTGCGGTCCACGAAGAAGAGAGCGGCGACGTGGAAAGATGCGCTGATGCGGCAGCGAATGTCGACGAACGCCGTCGCGCACGTTCAGCGCGTGCACCCGCACGAGTTCACGACTATTGCCGACTACAAACAACGCAAGCGCACTGCCGGACTGGCAACGAAAGCGCGAGTGAAAAATAGTAGTCGTAATAGTAGTACTACTACTGCGACGACGACGACGACAGCAAGTACTACTACTACTGCGCCGCCCCCTCCACCTGCGCTCACGAGCGAGAGCCGAGGGCCAAAGCTGAAGAAAAGTAGCGCTAAAGTGACGCGAAAAAGTGGCACCCAGCAGCAGCAGCAGCAGCGACTCGGACCGAAGAGACGCCGAGGCGCCGACAGAGCGCTTGCGACTCCCTTGAGACGCAGCCGCAACGCCGTTGCGAGCGCTGCGCCTTTCGACAGCACAGCAGCAGTGGGCGAGCGGTCGTCGGATCCCCACGCGGCCGACAGTGCCGTTCAGTGGCTCTTGTCGTCGGGACTGCCCGCGTCGGCGCTCGACGATCGACATCTGCTTCAGCTCGTGCACCGCCCGCTCGTTGGGCCGTCGGCGCTGGACGTGGCCGTCCACGTGCAGCGCGAGTTTGGCCGATTCGGCCATTGGCTTTCGTCGTATCTGCTCGCCGAGTCGCGGGCGGCAATGGGACTTTCGTTTCTGGCGCTTCGTCACGAGTTGCGGCCGCTGGAGACTGCTACTGTGGCAGCGGCAGGCGCCGTGACGCTGACGGGTCGGCCGCTGGCGACGCAGCAACGAGCGTTTGTCAGTGCTGCTATTGGGTTCATCGACTCCCAGTGGCGCAAAGTGGATTTGGTGCTCGCAGCGAAAGTGGTCCCGCGGACATGGGACCAGCACGTGACGCAGCTCGTAGACCAGACAGTGTCGAAGGTGTACAACATCCCGTCCATCTCAGAGTACGCACGGTTCGATCAAGTTGCTGCTGCTGCTGCTGCTGCTGCTGCTGCTAGTGGGGCTGAAGATGCTGCTGCTAGTGGGGCTGAAGATGCTGCTGATGTGCCCTCAGGACTTGATGTGAAGGGAGAGTATGGGTCGTGCACCGACAAGCGGGAGGATTTGCTCACACGAACGCTGCGCCAATGTGTGAGTGACGCTCTAGGAGTTGGCCGCTGCAGTTTGTCTGGCGAGGAGACGAACGTTTGTCGCATCTTGCGCTTACTGCAAGAGCTAATGCAGTTCTTTGAGCCGTCCGAGCGATCCCGTGCTCTGGCCGAGATTGGCGCTGCTTGCAGCACAGGCACGTCGCTTTGCTCGCTTGTGTCGATGGAAAAGATGATGCTGTCCACCCATACCTCGATTGGTGTGCTTGCGAGACTCCTCGCAACAAGTTGCGCGCGGTTCCCGTTGTACCAGTCGTACTTTCAATCCCCTGTCCGACCGACAGCGACAGAGCCCGATGACGAGTCGGCGTGGACGCAGCTGACTATGCAGGATTGGCAAACCGTCACGGAAGTCGAAGCAATTTTGAGCCATCTTGGACAGTTCCGTCTCGAAAAGCGCGTTGCTCTGAGAACGAGCGCAGTGGCATCGTCGTATGCTATGCTGTTCCGACGTCTGTTGTCTGTTACTACGAATGCTTCCAGCTTGAAGGTCTACTGCATGGATGAGCCCATCATCAATTTACCGTCTACCCGGCGCACGATTCAACGGAAGGCCAAGCGTGTGGACGAGTTTACCCCGACTGGCCGGCAGTGTCTTTTGCAGCTCCGGCAGCTCATCTCACAGAAGTTCTCGAGTCCTTCTACCCCGTCCGCCGTTGACGATGAAATAAAAGCTATGCTGCTGGATCCTCGTATCAGCTGCAAGGTTGGCGATCTTGTAACGGACGCCCAAGCATTGTGTCGCGCTCAGGAAGCTTTGCGCCAGGAACATCGTACTGTGTTCGAGTTGCTTGCAGCCCGTGACGGCGACGGCTTTCCTGGTCCAGACAATGAGATCGAAGATGACCTCGATGACGAGTTCAGTTCTCTGTTGATGGTAGAGGGGTCGAAAAACCAGTCGCCTGCCGTGTCATCATTCATCACACTTAGCGGCAGACGTCCAAGCAAAAACGACGTAGCTGAGGATGAGGTTCGCGCTTGGCGAGAGTGGCAGAATGTGTGCATTGAGGGAAACGCCCTCGCGCAAATTGGCGCTGATTTGTTCAGCAAGGGCAAGTACAACTTACTGAAGCTGTACCACCACGTGGACATACTGGAGTGGTTCCGGGATGTTGGCCAGCATGCGCATCCAGCAGCGTCACTGCTGGCTCGCATCTACCTCGGCCGACAAAATTCGCCATCCCCAGCCCTCAGGACGTCGCTCTCACGCTTTACGGTGCAAGAAGAGGCCACGTGGGCTTTGGGGGCTGCTCAACGAGCGGAAAGGCGGTGCATTTTGCACCACAATTGGCGCCAGTACCAAGAGCTGAAGTCAAAGGCAACGCCATCGGCCGCCAACAACGAAATGGTCAACCCGAGTTTGAGTGGTTTTTGAGTCATCTCCACACGAGGTTTCGTTAGCTCCACGAGGAGTGCTGGACGCACGTCTTTGCATTGTCTGGCTTCGATTGGCAAGGAGAGAGTCGATCGGTCAGCAGTCAAGCGCCAGACGTCTATCAACTTCTTTCCACGACCGTAGCACCAATAGTCTTTTGGCCATCACGCGCAGTCTTGTCGTCGTGCTGCCCGTTTGGCTTCTGGATGCTGTGGTGGTCCGCGTCTGATGCTTTTTACGACGCTATACTTTCACCTCAAGCTGTCGTGGCGTCTGAATGGGTATCTCGTTGGTACCGATGATGGCAGCGTAATTTCTGCTTGCGCCGACTGGCCTATACCATCCGGTAAAGCTTCATCAATGCTGCTAGAAGTTCATAAGTCGTGGATGCGAAACACGGATCACGAGTCACAACTTGTCCACGTGTTGGTTTGCTATTCGTTATCGCTTGATAGCGACTAAAATGGTTTCGTTGTTGCTGGAAACATGACTCATGAACCAGAGACAACAAGAAGATCGCATATTCACACGTGGTTTTTCTGTTCAGTATCGTCACCGTGCGCACTGGTAAAGACACATTCAGTGTCATGTCGACACTATCATCCAAAGCCATGAGTAAAAAGAATCCTGGATGACAATGTCTTTTGGCCACGTTGTGGAAGATACGCATATGCAGCAATTCTGCGTTTCGTTGTGCCTTGCCATCGCGCCGTGTTTATCAATCCGCCGGGTCCTCTACGACGTTGTGTTCCTGATCACGTTGCAACATCGACTCAGCTTGTAGCTTCGATGCCACAGGTCGACGCGCATTGTCGGACGATTCTTTCTTGACCATCACTGCAAACGTCTGCCTTCTCACAAACTTGCAGTGACGGGGCGTGTACAATACACGTCCCGTAATACATTGCTGGGTATGCCATTATTGTATGCTGCGTTGACTCGTTTTGGAGGCAAATGATGCCAGACATGAGCTCTTGCCTTCACTTGCGAACCTGAATATCGATAGATCGAGAGCTTTCCGCCTCAACACTTTGACCCGCATGCTAGCTGCTAGCCATCGATACTGCTTGTGTATATATATACTTGATTCCTGACACTCCAGTGCAAGCAGTAAATAGCTTGTGGACAGTCTAAGGAATGTTTCTAGCACTTTTTTCTGCAAGAAGAACGTTTCGTCCAGCTGCTGACATCTCGAAGTTACATGCAAAACCCATGTAACGTCTGGCGATGACCGCCCCCTTTTGACTTGGACGACCGTATGTGCTTTTGTCAACAATAAGCACACTTTGCAACATGCCGAAGACTTTGCATTGCTGTCATAGACCATGCGACTCACACGCGCACATTTATTGTCCTGTAGACTGTTCATTCATCTCATCCACAAGTCGACTTCGTGTTTGCGATCCTACGCATCATTCATTACCGATGCAACCAGTCCACCGCATCAGTTGTTTGCACTGCAGAGAACATGGCATCATCGGCATCGGTGTCCCAATGCGATGGAAGCCGACATAATTCGTCTATTGCCAGCAGACGTTGGTCCACAATGTGTAGTTACATCAACGAGATGTCTTTTTGCACGCTGCCTTTGCCAGCGATTGACCTGCACGGCGGTCGCTTTTCCGTCCAACATATCCAAATCGTTTGTTCGGGCACTTTTTCGCCAGACGCTGTGTCCCTCTCGCACTCGATGTCCAGCCGCTATAGTGCACCAACCAGTCGCACGAATTGTTCAGCCCATTCAGCTCACGTCGCTCTTGCAGAATGCGTCGAGAATCGTTCTTCAAGCGGTCCATCCGACCTCAATTGACCAACTCAGAGCAAAAAGAGACAAAGACAATCACAACGTCTGGGTGCGCGGCTTCGTCCATACGCAGAGAGACTCTACAGGAACAAAGTCTCGGACAGAAAACAAATTATAGGCTGTCATTCATTAATTAGTTGCACAACATCTGAGAGGCTGCAACCGCACGTGAACTTCAATACGCTACCCACCCAAACTCGGTGCGCGGCCTGATTGCTCGGGTCTGCTCGAGTACCAACGAACCCACCGCGTCTATCGCTGGGTCAATGTAAATCCACAACACATCACACGTCTGTCCCGGTTTTCGCCCGCTCCGCGTCGATGTCCGAGCTGTGATTGCTGTCCATGCTCGAAGGAGACACTGGCTGCGTCTTCGTAGGGCTCGGCGGGTTCTTCTCATCGTCCGTCTCTATTTCCTTCGTGTCGTCTCTTGTGGACAGCAAAAACTCATCATACAAATGCTCCACCGGCTCGACATTCTCATCGTCTGTTCCTCCGGAGCTCAAAGACGAAGCTGACACGCCAAAGTCCGCCGCCCGGTTCGGCCGCAACAGAGTGAGATCGAAATGCGACCCGCTTGTCGTCAAAAACGAGTCCAGCATCGTGTCCTCCTTTACAGCCAGTGCTCGGGGCTTCGAGGGCCTCCCAGAACTGCTGCTATCGCTGGCCGACATCGGCGACAACACGGTCGCTCCATTGCCCTCCTCATCTGGTTCAGGAATATCGCGCTGCTCTTCGTCGGGGCCGTCCATGTAGTTGAACGCAAAGTCGTTAAACAGCTCGTCATTCGAGCTCTTTGCCGACGCGGGCGTGTCAATCGGGACCTCCACCGTGTTCATGTACGTCTCAAAGATATCTTCCGTACGGTACTCTTTCGCATGCTTCTCCATGAGGGCGTACTGCCCCTCAAACAGCGCTTCTTTGCGGTCCACGCGGTCCCAATCGAGTCCCTTGAACCACGGGTGTCGCTTGATCTGCTCAAAGCCATGCTCGCCCGAGCCCAGTCGAGCAGCCTCGTTCTTCGTGAGCAACTTCGACACAAAGTCCTTTGCGTCTTCGGTGAAACGAGGCGAAAACTTCAAGTCCACATTCACAATCCGCTCCTTGATGAGGCGATTCGTCTTGGCGTTGAACGGCGTACGGCCGTCAATCATTTCGTACACCATGACACCTAGGGCCCACCAATCCACAGCACGCGAGTACGACTTGCCGCTAAACACCTCGGGCGCCATCATCTGGTACGTGCCGACGAACGTCGATGTACGCCCCTTTTCAGGCATGTTCTCTTTCGACATGCCAAAGTCCGTCAGCGCCACGTGACCGTCCGAATCCACCAGCACGTTCTCGAGCTTGAGGTCGCGATAAATAATGTTATTCTGGTGCAAGTGACGAATGGCCAGCGCCACCTCGGCAGTGTACAGTCGCGTGCGATCTTCGGCAAACCTCCGCGCAAGACGCATCTGGTCCAGCAGATTGCCGCCAGGGTAGTACTTTGACAGCAGATACAGCTTTGCTTTTGTCTGGAAAGCGTAGCACAGTGTTGCCACATACGGGTGTTTGATCCGATCGAGAATGCGCCGCTCGGCATTCGTCGCTTCGACAAGTCCACGCTGGATCATGAGCTTCTTGCGAATCGCTTTCATGGCGTAAAACACGCCTTCGTCGTAGCCATGTTTCTTGCGCACGAGCTTGACACGACCGCAGGCTCCTCGACCCACGAGCTTGACAATCTCAAAGTCGCCCAGACACACGGGGTCGTCATCGTCGGCCATCGGACGGATAAACACACTGCAGCGTTCCTGAGCCGCGGCCGTTGGACTCGTGTGGTTCTTCGCACTGCGGTTCTTCCGACGTGGGTCGATCAAGCACGGCAGCGACTGACACAGCGAACAGACGCGCCAGCTGCCAAACGCCGGCACAAACTTGTCCTCGCAGCAGCGACTGCAGTACTTGACTTCGCACCACGAGCACGGAATGCGTCGATTGAGCATTGTCAGCTTGCGATGGCAGATGCCACAGGCGTTGATCCTGCTGGCGTTCACGGTAATGCCTGCAGCTTCGCCGTCGCGCGCTGCAAACGAGCCAAACACCGAGCTCTTGACCATCTCGAGCGCATACGCGCCGCTGCTGCCCAGCACGTTGGACGGCACTGTACCAGCCGAGACACAGACGCAGCCATGGCGCGCGTGTCCCTGCGGGATCTTGCAGCCCACGTCAATGTCGGCACTGAGGATCCACGCAACGGCGCGGCGCGCGAGCATGCGCCGCGCAAAGTACGAGTCGCTGTCGCTCACGTAGTGCGAGGGCTCCACGAGCGCGAGCGCCTTGACGCGGTCCTGCATCACACCTGCGCCATTGTCGTAGTTCAGCAGGTGCAGCACCATCTGCGCGCCGCGGGAGAACGCAACGATAAACACGTCGCTCGCCAGCGGCGCCACCAGGTGGTCCCACGCGCTCTCCACGTGCGCGCGCGGGTGGCAGCTCTGGGCCGCGGGGTTGAGGATCACGACGCCGTAGTCCTCGCTCAGCGCCTTCTTCAAGTACGACATCATCGACCCACTGTCGCCGTCGCTGTCGAACTGGTTCATGCAGATGCTGCGGCTCCAGATGCCGGCTTCCCGGTAAGGTACGATCACGAGCACCCGCTGTTTCGTGGCGTAGCCGCGCGAGACATAGACAGTCCCTTTTGCGCACTCGCTACAAGCCGACGACGCGATGCTGTTGCGACGAGGCCGTTCTTTCCCCGCGGCCAGCTGGCGGGGCCGGCCCGCCGAATCCGAGTCAGTGCGCGGGCCCGGCGACCTCTCGTGGGGCATACACCTGTCATCCGGCTTGCGGGCCGCAGCGGCTTCGCCCGAGGCCACGACGACCTCCTGGAAGCCCAGTTCCGTGTGCAGACGCCGCTGCACCGTGCGGATCAGCGTGTCGACGAACGCGCACGAGTCTTCGGCCGTCGCGCCTTGGGCCAGGCCCACGCTCCCCCGTCGGCCCGCGACCAAGTGCGTGGCGGGGCCGCTGTACATGTTGGCCTGCGCGGGGTGGCGTTTGGCGCTGCCGAGACTGGCCGCGCGCGGTTTGCCAGCAGCAGAAGCGATGGCGGCGGGTGGATGGGCGGCGCCTCGAAGCGAGTCGAAGGGCGCAGGTCCGCAAGTCAAAAACTGAGTCGGAAAACGGCGATCTGAATGGCGCGGAGGAGGACGAGGCGGCTGTAGCGGCTGTGGGCGCTACGGGGGACACGGGCGCGTGCAGGCGACGGACGGGCAGTAGTGAGTGGGAGTGGCGTCGCGTCGCGCGTGTGGCGTGGCGGCGGGTTTTCTATTGCAAATTAAACGCGGAATGGACAGCGCGAGGGCGCGAGCAGAGCAGCTCGTGGCTTGGGGGCGTGCGCGTGGGGCCTACCGTGGAGAATACCTGTCATTGTGGATAGCTGCCCGTGCTTGTGGACACTGTATGGCGATACTGCAGCGGTTAGTATGCTCGTAAGTGCTTGTGCCACTGCGTTGGGGCATAGGCAGAGAGAGAGAGAGAAGCAGGATGATCGAGGGACTGGATCGGTAATCAGCTCAGAAGAGCCGGGATGCTGCCCATCAACCGTCTCAGCGAATAGGGGAACCGCACCCTAGTTTTTTCCGGCTCGGGCGCGCGTGCAAGCGACGGGACAGACCGACCACCGGGTTCCGCGGCGCTTTCCCGACTCTTCTCTCGTCTTTCCTTGGGATTCCATGCGAATCAGAGGACCGATCGCGAACGGCCCTTCAACTCAGTCACTCGCCCTCACGCACGCGCGCACTCGCTACAGACGTCGCTCGTTCCTTCGTCTCTGCTCGATCGGTCGGGCGCATACGCTGCGTTGCAGTCGATCGAGGACGTTTGCAGATTCGGTCAGTCGACAGAGCGACCGAATGAACGACGGACCAGCGCTTGAGCTCAGAAAAGTGCCTCGTCTGCGACGACAACGACGAGGGCATTGACGACAATCGAATCACACGACCGAAAGAGACAGTGACTGGAGCGACAGACACACACACACGAGCTGCTTCTTGTCGATCGTCAACGTGGTGAAAGTGGGGGGGGGGTGAGGCAACTCGAACGTACACACAGTGACTTTCTCGCAAGTCGCGGCGTTTGTCGTGTCGTGTCGCATGAAGTGACCCATTACCATTGAGAACAAAGCGCTACAGAACGCGAATCTACGATCTTTTTCTTCTTCTCTCTCACTTTCCCCCTCTCTCTCTCTCGCTCACTCTCTCTCACTCACTCACTCTCCCCCTCTCTCTCTCTCTCTTTGGTGCAACACGAGACACGTGATGGCTGCAATCTTCGGCCAATGAGCTGCGACGTTGTTGAATGGCTACTTTCTGGTGTGGTCGACACCAATGGACCGGATCATGCCCACGACCACCACGTCCCCTGCCCACGTGCTGCTCTCGGGCGTCCTCTTGCCTGCATGCTGCCGACCACAGAGCGACGCCCGCACTGCCAATTGCCCATCTCCACGTCCATCACCTCGTCTACTGCATGCCCAACTTGTACGCGTCAACGCTGTCGCAGGACTGAGTTACGTCGTCTGGCAGTGCACGTCTCACGTCTCACCTGCCAGCGCGTCGCCAGACGCTGCTCTACAGCCACGAATCACTCATTCGAAGTGGGTTTCGCAGCAACACGTGACCAGAGTTGATCCTGCTCCACCTGACACTAACGTGGCATTACGTCGTGGCCCGCACGACTCGAAGTTTGACGTCGAGAACCCTCTCGTGGCGCTCTGGAGGTCGAGGAACAGTACGATCGGTCGTTTCACGGTCGCTACCGAGCGCATTCGCACGGGACAACGAGCGTTCCAAGCTGCAGCATTTGCGGTCATTGTGCGACAAGCTCAAGTCGATCGACGGTGTCACTGGTGTTTTGTGAGGCTGTGCACAAAGGCGGTGCAGTGCGCCGACTGCGCGTTTGCACGATATTGTTCGCGTGACTGCTTATCAGCAGACGCGATGCTGCACGACTTTCAGTGTCCAGCTCTGCGAGATCTAAAGAGCAAGAAAGACCGTGACGGTGGTATAGGGGACGTGGAGACTGTGCGATTGGCGCTTGCGGTGCTGAGCATGGAGCAATTTGTCCGGAATCCTGATGCGTTGAAGCAGTTGGTCGTTCATTGCGATGCAAGGGAAAAAGCACGGCATGCGGTCGAGTTTATCGTCACGAGCACGGGTCGAAGTTTGGATCGGAAACACGTATGCAATACGCTAGAGCGCGTCCGGTGCAACGCTCATCCGCTGTATGTTGACGGCGTCACGTGCGTAGGCTCTGGCGTCTTTCCCGATGCCGCAATGGCACTGAATCACTCGTGTCTTCCCAATGTAGCGCCCAGTTACGATCCACGCACTCGGACACTTGCTTTCCATGCTATTACCGATATTCTGCCGGGTCATGCGGTAGAGTGTGCATACATTGACTTGTTGCAGACGACAACGAGACGTCAAGCGCTGCTTTCACAAGGGTTTGGCTTCACCTGTGTTTGCATACGCTGTACAAATGAAGGCGCGTTGGTCACTACGGATGGACGAGCTGTGGTTGCTGAGAATGACGAAAAGAATCGGATCGAGACGCAAGTGATGGCGGAACTGATGCAATTGAACCAGTCTAGTCACGCTGGAGCGATGCAACGGCTTTCCCGACTGAAGATAGAGTGCGCGGACTTCTTCCAGCACAACCACGAAGCTCGATTTGCGCTTTACACCGTGGAACTGCAACTTGCCCGCGGTCGACGTGATTGGAAACGTGTCGTGAACGCGGCTGAGATGTTGTTGACGATCTGGACGCGATGCGGCCTTCCCGCGAATTATCACACGACCGAAACGCTGTACATGCAGATATACTGTGCCGCAAAGCGTGCTGGGATGGCAGACAAGGAGAAAACGTCGGCCCTGCAAGTGACTCGCATTCGGCAAATTTGTGGGTACGTGCACCCTGAAACAATGGTAGGTTGAGTTGGAGCTCAACGAAATGTTGTGCCAAGCATGGAAGTCCACTTGCTGTCGCGCAGGTCACGTTTGCTTGGATCTGGTGAAATGGATGTCGTCACGTTTGCGCACATAATTCGTGCGCATGCCACGTGTGCTTCCCCAGAAGCTCACAGCTCAATGAATATGCTCGTGAACTGGAATGACTCAACGAGTTGACGTCTGTATGCGAAAAAAGCAGCTCAACAATGACGAGCGTTGCTATCAGTGCCACAAGCGCAGCTGATTCTGTGTACATCTCTGTGCCCCAGCGCGTGGTTCGTGCGTACTGAGTCCGTTCCCAGCACATGAGTACATCTCGGTCGATTCACAAGACAGCATATGTGCACGAGAATGCTGACATGATCACCGCTAGCTCGAGACGGTCTATCTTGCACCATTCTGTGCTCTGGCCAATGTTCCCCGCAAGATTCCTAGTGGTGCTTGCTGTCTCCAGGATGCGGAGCATGTACAGTTGCAGTGGCTCACGCAGTCAAAGAGGTAGCAAAGGACAGAAACGTTGGTCGCCGATCGATCCAATACTTCATCGTCCAGCGCTCAGTGCCAAACAACATGACACGATCGAGAAGAAGACGCAGCCAAAAGGAAGCAACAAACAGCGCAGCAATTGACGTCCATCGAGAATGAAGAAGGGCCGTGAGGGTCGATCCGGTCATGTGCGCGCCATCGTCTCCGCTTTAACATTTGCCGCCACTTGCAGTCGACGAAATGGTCTGCCGCAAAAAAGAAACCGCACCGTTTCGGCAGAAGAGCCAGCGGATCACCTGAGCGTGGCAGCCATCTGGTTTTCGCGCACAAGGGCATCGGCCCGTCTGGCGGATGTACGCCGAGCGCCATCATCATCAACCGCCGGGGCGAGGCAGCCTAACGCTACTTCACGGCACCTGTCGAACGCGCGGGAAGCAGTTTACAGCGCGACGAGCTGGTCACATCCGACCGTCTGTTCGGATCCGCATATCGGACGCGGTCCATCGCAGTCGGACGCGGCCGTCTGCTCACTTGAACAGCTGTGCAAGTTTTCTCGTCGCGCGGACCAGAGCCGTCGATGGTCGCAGAAAGGCTGAGGCCCTTTGCCCAGTCTTGCGACCAGCACACAAGTCGTCGTGCCAAGTGCCGTGACGTGTGCATCGTCATCATTCGCCATGCGGTTGGGAGTCTCTGTGGCGTCTGCTGCCTCGGACGATATGCTCGTCAGCAGTTGCACTGCAAAGCAGACACGTGGGGGTTGCAGGAACAGAAGAGCGCTGGTGCAGCTGTCGTTTCGCGCCACATGTCCGCGTCCATGGCCATCATCTTCCTGCACTCGCATGGTCCACCAGACGGTATGAGTGAGAGGCTTCTGGGGTCAGAGTGTTGCTGCTTCTGTAGCAAATGTCAGGGGAAGAACGAGGCGGTCTCGTCATGTTTCGCACGAACGGACGCATGGGCGAGCAGCGCTCGACTAGCAATTAGTCTGCTGCCAAGTCCCATTAGCCACAAGACGTAGACGAGAGGTTTCGTGCTTTTGGTCTCAACGAGCTCGACGAAAGCGTCCTTGCGTTCCGGTGTGCCCTTCGATCCTGCCCAGGACTTTGGCCAGAGAACCGACGCTCGCTTGGTCTTTGCTGCCGTGGGCTTGACTGCCTTCTGACGGCGCTTTGCGTGAACGAGTGAGTGGCCGTAGGTTTGGTGGAAGAAGAGACGGGCGAAGTTCTTTGCTGGGTGCACCGGGAGTTGTGAACGACCGGCGACACCCAAACGGGAGGCGAGCACCACCTCATGCCACCGCAGCTCTCTCTGTATGCGAACACTGTGAGGTCCTACATAAACACACGCGTCGAGTCTTTGTTCTCACGGTAGTAGGCCTTCCATCAGTCGGACTGCTAGGACCCGAAGCTACGTGGAACAGCCTCGTGGTGACGTTCAATCCGATCGAGTCGGACCTGTGAGTCGACTACGCGTGCACACCATGAGCAGGAGCAGACCACGTTCGACGAGACCACGTCGCCGGTGGTGGTACGCACTGCATCGTCATGAGGTCATCGTCCACTGCAGCCACGCGACACACTGCGCACTGCGACCACACGGACGATCACAAGTGTCTGCTTCTCGACCGCTACTGCCGTGGAAGACAACTCGGAGGCTATGTACGTGTCCCATCGTTTCGGGAGACGCTCTGCTGAGCAGTAGGAGGACCTCCCGCGACCGACCGCTTTGATGAAACGCAGTGCTTTGCAACCAGCGAAAGAAAACGTATCGTTCGATGGGTGTGCGTTCCCGTATCCAGACGGACGACGATACCATGTGCTCCGGAAGCACTGGAGAAGCCATCGATGTCAGTCTCCAGATGCCCTGTCGGGGAGCGACACCATCAGCTTCCAGCGAGTCAAATCGGTCGTTCATCTCGGCAGAGAGCGAGCGAGCGAGCGAGAGACCACGAGCAGCAAGAGGTCCACAGGAGCCAGTCAGCCACTTTGCGCTCGACTCGATTGGCTCGAGGCTTCCGAATAGCGGCTACTGTGGCAGCGAGCGGCTCAGTGGGCCGTGTAATCTCAACCCACTTCGGCCGTAAGAAGGAGCGCCCGCACGTTACACTAACATTCCGACGGTCGACTACCGGCCGACTATCGACCGATCCACTCGGCAGTCCGTCGTCAACGTTCGACACCGTCCCCCCCTTCTGCTGCTGCTTCTGCTGCTGCTGCTGCTGCTGCGTCTTTGGTCTCACAGCGCGGAACACGTCTTCGCTCGCTCGCTCGCGTCCTTCGTAGCACTCGCACGAGTTGCAGTACTCGTAGTAGCTCGTAAGTAGGACTTTGACTGGGAACGAACGTGTGGCTGCACGTTAAATGACCGGAGCGGCGTCTTCCGACGCGGACGAAAGCTCGACGATGGACTCAAAGTGGGTCCTCGTCGCCCTGTCGGTCGCGGCCGTTGGTCTGCTCACCGTCGGCTGCTGCTATTGGTGGCGCTGCGGGCTGCTGCTGTCGGCCGCGGCCGCTGAAGCGCTTCAATGGCTCGCGCGACGGCCACAGCGTCGAGTACGTGAACTGCGACCTGACGCCAGAGCTGCTGGCGATCGTCGCCGACAGCGCTCACCGCTCGTCCAGCGCCACGCGGTTCGGCACGCGCTTGTTCTACTACCTGCCCGGCATCTCGAGCGTGCCGTCCATGGACGTGTTCGACCAGTTCAGTCGACCACCTGACGCCCGGAAGTCGACCAGTGCTGCGACCACTGCAACGGCCACAGCTTCGCCCGCACTGGGCATCGACGACGACGACGACGACGACGACGACGGCTTGCAGCTCTCACGCGACCGCCGAGACGAGCTCGAGCTCCACGCGCGCGTACTGGAGCAGTGTCGACTGCCGCCAGAGAGCGTCGAGGGCGGCGAATTACTGCACGAAGGCAGTTTTGCACTGGCGTTCCGAGCGACGCTGCAACTCGACGGTCAGCCTCGTCGGTCCGTGATCGTGAGGCGGCTGCTGCCGGAGCTCGTCGACCAGCAAACGTACCGTCGAGCGTTCGTGGCAGATATCGCACTGTGTGCTGCACTGGTGCACCCGCGGATCGTGGCCTTCGTGGGGGTCTTCGGCCCGACTCAGCGCGCGTACGACCTCGACGCGTCCTCGTGCTCGTCCGTTCTCTCGCTGCAGGAAGCGCAGCTGTCGGCCGTGACCGAGTACATGGCCAACGGCACGTTACGAGCGCTCTTGACGCTGCGGGGCCGCAACTCGCCCGACTTTGGCTGGTTCCAGTCGTCCGTCTCGATGCTCAAGCCCAAAGCACAGCTCGCGCTCGACATTGTGGATGCACTGGTCTACTTGCACTCGCGCCCAGCAGGTCCCACCGCAGCGCTGCACCCGCCAGAGCTCAAGGCCCAACGGGTGCTGCTGTCCGAGCACTGCGACGCGAAGCTGTGCGCGTTCGGCCTTCGGAGAGCTGTGGGTGTCCAGGCCGCGTTTTCACGCAGCGATTTCTCTGTTGCGTGGCTGGCCCCCGAACTGCTACGGGGCGAGCCCCGAAGTGAACAGGCAGACGTGTACTCGCTCGGTGTGCTGCTCACGGAGCTCGACACGGGCAAACTGCCGTTTGAAGCAGGCGTCGACATGGACGACGGGATGGACGAGCAGCGGCAATTGGCGCTGCTCGTGAGCTCGGGCTCCATCCGTCCGGCCCTCTCGATGGACTGTCCGGTCCAGATCCAGGAACTCGTGCTGCGGTGTCTGAGCTTTTCGCCGCCGCAGCGTCCGCCCGCAGTTGAAGTGCAGCACACGTTACGCAAACTCATCAACGGCACGAGCGTTTGTACGCTGTCGCAGGCGTCGCTCGTGTCCGACATGTCGGTGCTCGATGGCACGTCAGGGCCCAGTGCGACGGCCCTCAGTGCTCTCTTTACGTCGTAAGGAGAGTCGGGACTACTTATATTAGACAGACAGCCGAGCGAGGACCGTCAACCCCTGTAGCAAAGCGACTATCATCCCATAAACCAGTAAACTAGACGACGTCTGCAGCTCATACTGCATCGCCTCTGCTTTTCCAAATGAATGATCGATCGATCGATCGATCGCGCGACAGGTAAACTTGACACATTCACGCGAGGAACTGAGGAAGAGCTAGAGGCGTATCGAGAACACGCGTGTACACGTCGGACGGACAGCTACAGGTCCCATCTTCCACTTGAGCCTTTCGGATGACGTTGCTGAGGAAACGTACTGTCGTGCGAAACGGATTGCGTCGGCAGAAAAGAGGCTCATGTCGACGGCAAGAACCCTTTGTGAGCCATTGGAAACGTAAGCCACATGTGAGTTCCTCGCTGCCGATGTGGTTGACTCGCAGTGGCTTTGTCGCTTGTCGGTAACGTCGTGCTGCGATGTGGAGACAGAGACTGCAGCCACGCAACCCCATCGACCCCATCATGAGACGGCGCTATCCACACACCACTGTCCACACTGTCGATTGCCATTGCGTAAATGTCCACACCTCATCTACCGCTTCGAGGTGATCGACCTCTTTAGTGCAACTCGCTGGTGCTTTCATCTGCACAGTTTGCGCACATCTGACCGTGGAGATGGACCGGTCGATGGCTTGAGATGATGGGCAGCGAAAAGGTGAGTGATGTCGCAGGTTCACGAGTCCGACGCTGCTGTGCGCGCCTCCACAACAGCACAGCTGGACTTGCTGGTGGAAACATCGACTTGTTGACGCGCGGTCGAAGCAGAGGTCGAAATCGCTATTCACACTGCTCAGCCGTCGAGCTACAGCAGACACTGCCGAGCCGCTCATGCGACTGCAGGTCCGACACCTACAAAGCTACGACAGCGTATGCTGTATTGCTCCCCGACGTCCATATCTTTCGGGCAAAAGAGACTTCCCCTCACAAGGTCGTGCCTGAGCGTGATTTCTTTTGCAGCCGTCGGCAGCGTATACAGAGAGGCAGCGCACGCCGCGTCAGCCGACGACGACCCGCCCGTCAGTCGTCCATCGTGTGACACGGCAGCAATCTGGTCGCTTCGGCGTCGAGCAAAGCCGCAAGTTGTCCGGCGCTATTGTCTGCCTCACCCTCAGCGGTTCTTTGTGACGGAAGAAAGGGCTGTCAGCTCTATTGAGCCACCGGAACGCGGAGAGAGCGAGTTGCTGAGAACAGTCAGACAGCTGGTGACGCGTTTTTGCACAAGGGGTTCTCTCCGCGACGCGCGCACGGCTACAGTGCGTCCGCTCTTTGTGATCTTTTTTTTGCGAGTGCAACATTGCAGTTCGAGCCTTTTGTGTATACGTCAGTCATTCGTGTGTGTATACCACCCACGTGTATCGCTCTTCCCGCCGCGATGTGGTCTCGCGGACGAATTCTGCGGGGATGGGGTCTCGCAGACTGTGCCATCTGGGATTCCCTCCCTCCCCTACAAAGGCCAGCACTATGCACCCGCACGAGGGGTCCTGCGGCCCGGATCTGCGACCACAAACACGAAAGAGGTTCTTGTTCCGCAGCTCACCGTTTGTATGCCGCCAAGCGCATTCGCGTGTTCACGCGCCACTCGGTTGTTGTGCCGTCAGTTCACAAGCTGCCGCACATGAAACACACTTCTCCCATCGCGTCCCGTCCAGTCGTGCAGCAGCAGCAGCAGCACCAGCCGCGTCACCAAACGCTCTCGAGCACCGACATGAACGGACCGCAGTACGCTTCGGCCATCCCCTTCATCCGCCGCAAACGGCCGCGCGCCATCGAGACAAACGACCACCTGACCTGTGCTTTTCCTGCGCGCGCGTCAATAGAAGAGGCGCCCCGTGCACGGGTCTTGCCCGGACTCGCCGAGCTCTTGGCAGCGCAGCAGTCGCCCCCGCTCCTGCAATCGCAGTGGCGACCGACGCTGCCGAACGCGATCGAGCACGAGGACAAGACGCCGTGGCCGTCAGCAGTAGAGTATTACCGCATCTTCTCGACGCCCGAGCCGGAGCGCAAGCTCCAAGTGTTTGACCTTGGCGTGGACCGTCGCGGCGTGCCTTTGCACCCCGAGTTCATCTACAACGACCCCGTGTCGTGCATGTACTTTCTAAAGTGTTCCAAGTTGATAGGAAAAGGTTCGTTTGGTTTTCCACGGAAGAAGAAAGAGCTGCTGCGGCAACAGGTGGCGACGTTCGGCCACGCGAGAGCTGCGGTGATTGGTTTTCCGGCTACGAGCCAATCACAAAGCGCGAAGAAGCAGAAGAAGCTGCCCGACGCGAGCAAAGACTTTGAGTGGCGCAAAATGAGTTTTGTCACGGGTTTGCCGAAAAAACAGCCGCTCGTGCGGTACGTGACCGCCACGTGTTATAGTCGGGCGACCGAGCAGGCCGCGAAACAAAAGGTCTTTCGCATGCACGCGGTCATGCTCGCCGATAAGGCAGGAACGGGCGAGTGTGGCGACTATGTGCTGGTGCACATTCGCGCAGGGGGCAGCAAACGCGTCGGTGTTCGAACGAGCGGTGCAGACACAGAGGTGCAGCAGACCCCGACGTCTCCTGGTGCCATCTACGAAGACATTGCACCTGCAAAGCAGGGCACCAACTCGCTGAGCGCCCAGAGTCCCGTGTCCCCTACTAGCGTCGCCGTGGCTTCCTGCGCGAGCGTCTTGACATCCACTTCACCTTGCAACAAGCACTTGATGCATGCGGCGGTCTCTGCTGGCTCGAGCGAGAACTCGGGGGATCGGACACAGTCGGTGGTGACAGCGTCGTTGTCGAAAATGGATTCGACAGCGCGCGTACCCCGTTGTTCGCCACTCTTCTCCGTCGCAGAGGAACCAGACGTTGGCGCGGGGCGAGTGGCGCTGCGCAATATGATCCTGAAGGCGTGTACGTCACCAGAAGAGGTGACAAAGTACGTCAGGGGGCTCCAGGAAGAACTCGCAGCGTTGCAGAGCTCGAACCAGAGAGAATGTGAGCGTTGCAGAGCTTGAACCAGAGAGGGTGTGAGTGCAACAGCGTTGAGTGAGGATGCCCAGCTTCCGCCTTTTTTCGATCGTTCAATATGTAGAGTGACGTGGTTAGTGTAGAAAGCTGCGCGCCCGCTACACTTATGTGCGATCGAATGCACGCAGCAGCTGGAACGTTCGTGTCGATGCTGCCGTCCCTGCCGTCGCTGTTGATGGCCCATGACATTGCGACAAGGTGTAGCCATAGGTGGGTGTGGAGCGAACAGGCTCAGCATGCTGCGTCAAAAAGGCGTCTAATGTTGCCAGACTCCTCCTGCATTTGTTCACAACTTTGAGCCATGTTGATGTGATCAGCGGTATGCAATGGATTTACGAGTACCTGTTTCTGGATGCTGCACGACGAGCGACGTCGACAATGACTGACAGACGTGCTGGACTTGTGTTCAGGTCGCGCGCAGCTCTGCCTTCTCCACGAGATACGAACGCTCCATGGGGGCTCGTGTTTATGACACAGTTGATGTCTGTATCGCTTGCAGCGTGCACATCATCCTGAATTGCGTCGACATATCATCTTTCAGCTCATGGCAGCGACGCACACGCAGTGAGTGGTAAAGCTCGTCACAGCAACGATCACATTTGCTCTGCTCCTACTTGTATCGCTTCTTCCGAGAGAAAGCAAAGAGCGATAGCTAGAAAGACGCCAACAGCCCCAGATCTTGCCTTCGTTCAAGTACTCCGTCAACAAGTAGCAAGATCTGTTCCATGCACTTTCGCGATGTGCGAGCCGCTTCCGTTCCACACGTTTGACAGTCTCCCGGACACTGTCGAGTACAGGCGCAGTGGGGCTTTTTGACCCGAGGTATTGCCTGTCAGTGTACTTCTGCAAGTGTTGTTGCTGGTATTTTCTCCCTCTGTTTCGCTGTAGCCACTCGTCGAGTACCGCGTCTGTTGTCGCGCCTCGAGCGCTGAGCGGTCACAATCAGCTGAGCTCTTTCTTATTCACCAAACAACTGTCGCTTCTATGTTTGCAGCGTGCTAGCGGGGTAGGGCTCTCGGCCCACCATCTGCCGGGCAGCGGTTCGAACTCGCACTTAACGGTCGACAGGTTCCGCGACCAGTCCCTCGTCCTGCCGCCCGGTCTCCGTCGTCTCTCCGGCACAGGTGGCGCGTTGCCACGACCACGTCAGCGCTCACGTGGCGCACGTGCTGCCGTGTCACGGGCTCGTGACGTGCCACGGCCACAGCTGTCGGTCGTCGTCGTCGTCGTCGCTCGATGGCAGCGGAAGTTGCCGTTCGGGTCGACGTTCCGCGCGTGTATTGCAACACACAGTCGCCAGTCAGACGAGACGGACGGTTGAGGACGGCTTGCAGGCGTTCGGTCGACGACGGTGCAGGGAGATGTGGGGTGGGGTGGGGTGGGGTCTGAGTTAAGGTGGCGCACACAATCAGGACGTGCGCGGCGCGATGGGCAGTCACTTGGCGTTGTATGCGGTCGAGGTTTTAGACGCTGTCCGAGGTTTTTCCCCGTGTTCGCTCCTACAGCCGCCACTCGGAAGAAGGCGCTGACTTGGAGAGACGAGCGCTGGAACAGACAGAGGCAGCGGCAGAGACACAGCGACGGCGACAGAGACACAGCGACGGCGACAGCGACACAGCGAGCAGCCGAATGAGTCGTGAAGAGCGAAAGATGGCGCAGATCATTGCGAGCATTGAGCGCATGGAGCAGGAGGCGCGCGCGTCAGGGGACGACGCGGTCCGAGCGCAGGAGCCGCCAGAGTGGGCGAAACAGGGCGCGCGTGGCAAAAAGGGGAAGCGCGGGCGGGTGCTGAGTGTCAAAGTCAAGACGGAGAAACGGCTCAAGGCTGGAGCTGTCGCGGTGGGAGCAGGAGGGGCGACGCCGTTGGCTGCCGAGCGCAAATTGACGCCCAAGAAGCGCTGGATCCAGCTCTGGAGCGCCCAGCTGGACACGAGCCCCAACAAGGACAGCGACGTGGGCAGCCGCGTGGCGGGTGCAGATCGTGGAGCTGAGGAGGACGGGGCGGCGACTGCAGCGGTGGCGGACACGCCGTCGGAGATTGACGCGTGCGCTGCTGTGCTTGCGCCGGCTGAGACTCTTGTTACCGAGGCAAATGAGACACGAAAGAGCGTCGAAGAGCCAGTGGGTGTGCCGGCGGCGGCGGCGGCGGTCGATCCTGGTGTGTTGGCTTGCAGAGAAGCGAAGCCAGCGCGTGAACTGGCGTCGGTCAATGCGACGAAGCGCAACTTACCAACCGAAACACCAGCGGCGTCTGTGAAGACAGGGGCGACTGTATCGGAAAGAGATGACGTGGCTGCTGCCGCCACGTCGGCGTCGTTGGACCTGCGCGTGAAAACTCCGATCAACAACGAGTCGTCGCACTTGTCTCCTCCGCTGGAGAGGAGTAGTCCTACAGTCGCAGCCTCCATCAGTCCATCGGCAAAGGTGAAGGACAGTGATACACCAAATAGTAACACACTAGCGGTGGCAGCGGCAGCAGCAGCAACAGCCAAGTCTTCACCAGCAGCAGCAGCAACGCAGGGAAAACGCGTCGTGACAGAGCAGGAGGAGGAAGTTCCTGAGCAAAAAATGGCTGCACCGAAGCTAGAGGGGAAGAAGAGCAATAGCAGCAGTGCGGGCGAGGAAGACGACAGTTGTCGCAGCGAAGCGTCAGGATACCACTACGATTGTGGTAGCAAACGCAGCTTGGAGCGCAGTGATGAGTCACCGGTATCCGACGAAGCAAAGCGACGAGCAGAGCGGAGGAGGAAGCGAAAGTCGAATTGGGATGTCGGCGATCCCCGTAGAGGGGGAAGCCCTGTTGCCGAACTACCAACGAGCGCCGCTGCTGCCGCAGCCAACCAGCAGTCATTTGCCAAGTACCCGCCCACTGGGCCACCGTGGCGGCATAGCCCGAGCGTGATGGACGTGAAGCCGCCACCGGCGCACTTCCAAAGCACGATGATGGACATGAAGCCGCCTTTCCAGAGCGGCCACCGGCCCTCGACGTTCTACAGCAATGGCCCGAGTGCGGGGGCAAGACGAGGGTTTTTCCACGCGCCGGATCGTTCTCGAAGTGTTGGACGTTCGTCAATGCGTTTCAGCTACGGAAACAGCGGCAGCAATTACCGGTGATGGATCGATCGGCGGCAGTGGATGTAGGAAGTGACGGACACGACTCGCTGTAGAGATGGGACGGATATTTTATGAAATGTGACCATAATGTGCAGGAAGCGGAGCCATAAGGGGAAGGAGCTGGTGCGACGCTCGATGCACCGAGCACACGTGTGTGTACCACGTGCGTGTTCGGTTGGTGGGCGGTAGTTTGTGTCGTGCACACTAACGTAGGACGAGGCTGGAGCGCGCTACTTGCTGCAACTCGTATAGATAGCGCGGCAAGATCGTGGCAACTTGACTGACGTGCATCTGAGACATCGCTCGCACCGAGACGCCAGTGCCTTTTACGATCTTGCCCCTACCCCTGTTCCATGAAACTTCCTACTCGTCAGCTGTTTTGCTTAACCTAAACACGCTCATTTGCCGCCAAGTTGGTGCCACGTGACCACAGGCAGACATGAGACATGTCCGATTGTGTTGATGCTGTCGGATATCGAGCCAAAGTGATCACTGACGTTTACTTTGATGCAAGTACGTGGTAGACGCTGACACTGACCGTCGTGCGCTTCCAACCCGAGTGCGTTTACTGTATTGACGACGCAACACACATGACAAGGGGTCAATCAGCACCGGTCCTTGTCACGTCAGACATCCGATGAGGTCGTCGCGAATTGTGCCCGTGACGGTCACATTCTGCAGCCAGCGGACTTAGGAGCGGTGTTGCAAACAACAGCCAAGCGACAATCGACGTCCATTAGGCACGTCTGGAGATGCGCTGCATGCAAATGCTGCAGCACTGGACCATCCAGCACCGGAGCAACGACCACAGGCACGGGCGTCCGTCATCGATCAACGCAGCGAGACCCAATTGTGTCTTTCTTGTTTAAAATTACTGCGACCGGTGGGACGACGCTCACGATGCCTCTGGACGAGACAGGCTGCGGCACATGCGGCATCGATTGTCAAAGCACGTGTTCGTGTAGGTACATTGCACGCACTTCCAAGCACTTTGCCGTCGGCGTTGGCGCGTGAGCATTCGACACTTCGACCCCAACGCTTTCGAATGGACCGAGCGAGCACGTGGGGGGTCGCGGCTGCGGGTGTGCAATGCAACCGACGACAGTGTCGGATCGAGCGTGAGCTGGAGCAGCGGCTTGCTTCGGTCCACCCGTCGTCGCCGTCGCTTCTTCGTCACGGGCGGACTGTGCGAGGCACTGCGGAGGAAATACGTTCGACTCGGCTCCGGTATCTCCCCGTGCACCTGCGCGTCGCACTTGACTGCCCCTCCCACACGTTCAGCAGGACCAGCCCGGCGGGCGTGGGACGCCACGAAAAAGCGGTCCAACTTCGGCTGCTTTGCATCACTTGCCGTCCCAGCAGACCGCGTCCGCGCGCGCTTCGTGCCCGTTGCAGTGGCCGCGTGGTGTCGGCCACCTGTCCCTCGCTCAAACTCGTGGCTCTTCTCGGCCAGTAAGCGGTCCAACGACCGCGACGACGGCGACGTGGACGACGTCGCCGCCAGTGCGGCCGTAAACTCGAGATCGTGCTGCAGGAACTCGAGCGTCTGCTCCAGCGCCCGGTGCTCCACGTCGTGTGCCTCCACTGGACGTTCGTAGAACGCATGGAGCTCGCGCGTTGTCGCTGGGTCCGGTATAGAAACGTCGCCGGCCGCCACGATAGAAACGTCGTCGTTTCTATCCGCGTGCAGCGGCGGCGCGTCTTCGTCGAAAAAGTCCACGAGCGGCTCGCGGTCGCCGTCCCGCCCGAGGAACGGACACGTGGTCTGAATAGCTGTCCACAACGTGTCGTCGACTTTGTACTGTTTCGTGCGGGCAAAGCCCACGACGCGGCGCCGACAGAAACCGCAATTGACGCTCGTGAGCTCCAGCGCGCGCTTGAAGCACTCGAGACTGTGGCAAAACAGGAGCAGGGCCGTGTCAAAACACGGTGAGGTGGGGCAAGGGGGGTCGCGCTGGATAGAAATGCGATAGAAACGTACCACAAATGGCGCTGGCAGCACGGGAGCTGGATCGGACGCCGCAGCACGTCGAGACACAGCGGACACTGGAAACGGATCGGAATCGTGACGGACATGGCGTGCGGCGCACGGAGCCCCACGGCCGGCGTCGTCGCGCGCGACCGCGTGAGGGCCATCGTCCGGGGCAAAGCGGTTTCTAAGCGGCACGACCGGGCGATGACGAGTCGGGCAGAACGAGGTGGCTGGGCGAATGTTGCACCAATGTACGCCCGTGCTCCGAGAGTATGCAAGGGACGGACGCGGGCGGTGGGATGGCTACTTAAGCAAAACAACACGCGGTCCCGCTCTCTGCGAACGGGACTGCAAACCACATGGGGCCGTGCAACGCCTCTGATTTCTATCGACCGGGACACCCGTGCACTTAGAAACCCGCCCCACCACGCCACCCGACCGGCGTTTCTATGCGGTCGAGCCTATACCCTCCGCTTTTGTCACCACGCAGTCCGTCCGCGTCACCGCTTCGCCACTCCATTCCGTCGCGCGTCCCCTATGCTGCGTCCGCGTGATTTGTCACTAGCGACACGCGCCCACCTCCGGCTGCGCGCATGGCGCACGCGGACCGCCCCCGCGACTGCGCGACCGCTCCGCCACCCGCGCGACCCATTGCCTCCATCCGCGCGGCCGTTCACGTGCTGCAGTCCCCTGTCCCAGCCGTCCGAGCCCGCGACCGCTGCTCCCGCACGTGTCTCTACTGACATATCCGCCGGCCATCCACTGGACGCGCGCGCGGCCCTCGTCGCCCGCCTCAAGACGCAGTGCAACGCGCTGTACGTCGACAACGCGGCGTTCGTCCCACCGGCGCAAGCGCTCGCGCAGTGGCACGCGGCCATTTCGTCGCTCGCGAGTGCATCACCGGCGTCCGAGGCGCCGCAACTCGCGGCCGAAGTCGAACGCGCGTACGAGAGCGCCGTCGCGATCGCGTCAAAGCAGCGGCAGACGCCGCTGGCGGCGCAGTTGGTGCAGCAGATGGCGCAGTTGGGCTACCGGCCGACCGCGCGCACGCACGCGATGCTCGTGCGCAACGTGGCGCTGCAGCTGCGGCCGGACGGCGCGCCCGCGACGTCGACGCGCGACCTGCGGACGCTGCTGCAGGACGTGCCGGACGACCGCTGGCCGCGCGAGCTCTTGCGTGTGCTTGAGCGCGAGACGCGGCCGCTGCAGCTGCGGACGGCGCGGGAGGTCGCGCTCTTCCACGAGCGACTGATCGCCGGCGTCGAAGCGCAGCTGAGCGCCTACGAGCGGACGGCCGCCGACGCGACGGAAGCGGCCGACCGGCGGCTCACGTCGGGGCCGTACCACGAGGCGCTGCGCGTGTACGCCGACAATGGCGTTCCGTTCGCGCGCATGCTGCAGCTGATGGTCGCGCGGCGGCTGACGGTCGGCGTCGAGACGTACGGCGTGCTGCTGCTCGGCGCGCGGTGGAACGAGATCCCCGCGACGCTCAGTCAGCTGCTGCAGTCGAAGCTCGTGGACGACCTCGTGCGGCCGCGGGACGGAGCAGCCGCAGTCGCTGCGCGTGCGCACGTGCACCGGCTGTGGGTGAACGCCATGAAGGCCGTCGTGCACTCGAGCACGGAGCGGTTCAACGCACTGGCCGCCAGCGTGTCCAAGCGCGACGTGGATCAGCTCCGGAAGGTGTTCACGTACGTCGACCGACAGCTCGCAGACGCCTTTGGCACCGTCGCGTTCGATGACGCAGCAGCGCAGCGCGACGACGTGTACGCGATGCGCGCAAAGGCCGCCGCGGCGTGCGGACTCCGAGCCGCTGTCCAGCGGATCCTCAACGAGTACGTGCAGTCGAGTGGCCACGAGGACGACCAGCAGCGGCCGCGCGGGCTGTCGACGGCGCCGTTCCTCATGGCGCTCGAGGTCGTCCCGTGGGCGCTGATGGACGTGCTGACGCTCTCGCGTCAAGACGCGTTGGCCCGTGCCGAGAGTCGCGACGTCGCGGCGTCGCCGCGTGTGCTCGCGATGCAGCGCCTGTACGACCGCGTGCTGCAGCAGCTCGACGCGGCCCAAGCGACCGTCGACGCGATCGAGCAGCAGCTGACCGCCGGCGACGCTGAGGGGAGCGACGACGAGCTGCGCAAGTTGCGGAGCTGGCAGAACGTAGCGCGCGAGACGGTGCGACGCGAGGCGCGACGGGCCGCGACGCTCGAGCGGCGGCTGGCGAACGCGCGCGTGCTCAAAGCGAATCAGCTGCTGATCGAGGAGCACTTGGACCGCGCGGACCGGACGGTGGCTCTCGTGCTGGAGACGCTGCAGCGCGCGGGCTGCAGCGTGCCCACGGACGTGGACTTGGACGTGCACGTGAAGCTCATGGAGCAGTACCTGACGGCTGCGCGGCGTCTGGACAGGCGGCTGGCGCAGCGGCAGAAGCACGTGGGGCCGCACGTGATGCGCCGCGTGTTTGGCCTTGTGAATCGGATCTCGGGCGCCGTGCGGTCCGGAGCGCTGGACGTGCAGGAGGCCGAAACCCGTGCGAAGCTCGTCACGTTCTTTGAGCACGCAGTGGGTACGGCCGTGCGGCTCTGGTGCGAAGAGGAGACGGCGGCGCTCGTGCGGCAGCAGCAGCGACTGCTCGGGACGTTGCAGCTGTCGTCGCGCGAGTACGAGCAGCTCATCTTCCAGAGCGTGACGAATCTGGACGTGCGGCGGGCGCACGCGCTGTTGCAAGAGATGCACAACGCGGGTATGAAGCCGTCGGGGGAAGCGATCCACCGCATTGCGCTTGGACTGCTGCATCGACGCAACGCACTGCCGACGGACGATGGGCACACGTCGTATGCTGAAGAGAGTGTCGAAGACGACGGAGACAGTGAGGCCGAAGTGGATGCGGAGACTGCGGTCGAAGACGATGCAGCGAGTGCGGATACGGGCGATATGCAACTCGCAGGCCGAGACGTTGCAGCCGCAGCAGAGGCAGCGCTGGACTCGGAGCTGTCGGATCTTCTGAACGTGTCGGATCGGGACGCCATTGAGGACGAACTCGAGCTCCGTGGAGGACTGCGGCTGGACGGAGACGATGCCGCCGCCGCCGCCGACGACGACGACCGTAGTGCGGAAAGCAGTGCGACAGCACGGACGCTGTTGCTGGGCTCGGACGCACCGGTGACTGTGGAGGACCTCGTTGGCTTTCTGCAAGACTGGTACAACCTGTACGGCGTGAAGCCGTTCGGCAAGACAGTGGTTCCGGTCATGGCTCAGCTGCTGGACGCGAACAACTTTGCCGAGTTCCGCCGACTGTTGCAGATCGTGGACTCCATGGACGGCGGCCTCACTCCAGCGACAGAGCTTTGGCTCGAGAAGCGGCTCGACCGACTTGGCGGCAAGACGCTGGACGACTTTCGGCTGAAGACAAACAACAAGTGACACGTCGACGGCGGCGCCGCGGGGAGTTGTGGTGATAGACACACAGACACACAGACACACAGACAGACGGACAGACAGACCGTCTCCTGCGTCATTGGCACAAATGATTGGCAAACAGTTGCAGTCTCTTTATGCAGACACTGCCGGGCGCGCGGCCGATGCAGCGGACGATGTCGTCCGTGCGCAGGTCCGACGCGCTCCTTACGTTTCGATCTGATCCAGCGACGCCGACAGGAACGTCCCCAGCGTCTCCACCTGCACACACGGCACCACGTGATTGCTCAGTATGCGGACGTCCACACAAACGAGTCGCGAACCGGTCGACGACACCAGTAGCATCGACAACACTATCATCACTTGTCACCACCTTAGCCTTGAGCAGTCCCGCCGGGGCATCGGTGCCCGAGTAGGCACAGAGCAGAAACGCTTTGCCTGCCACTGTCATCGCGAGTCGGCCGTGCTACATCCCAGGGCCCAAAAAAACATTGACGACATGTAAAAAACAATTCAGCCATAGGCCCCATCAACCGTTTCGTGGCACACACACATAAAAAACAGACGTCATAACGGCAGCTCCGAAGCTGCCGTCACCTCGCGCGTACCTCGAGCTCCATGAGCATCGTGCGCAACTCTCCCGCGGGATTCGCTTCTCTCCCGGCGTGCACGTACTCGCCCCAAGTATGGGACGCAATCGCCCCAACCACTTTATGATCGACCGCTTCTTTTTCGCCCACTGATCCCACCAGTGCCCCCTCTAACGTCATCAATCTGCCCGAATAAAACATAACAAGGAGAATCGTGAACAATGTACAAAACAAAATGCGCCGTCGCGCGCGTGACGCTCGGACGCTTTTGTACAGAACGAGCACGAGCGTATCGCTCTCTTCGCGACGGCATACGCCGACACGACGCAAAGGATAGTAAGCCGGCAGTACGCACATGCAGGCCGTGACCTCATCGTCCACGATCTGCCCCAGAACTTCCGGCAGGACCTTTGCACGCAACATTCGAGTCGTTTATTGGTTTGATAAAAATGATTACAACTCCGACAAACGAAAATTCATTTGCCTTTAGTATGCGACAAATACAGTGAATAGGCATTAAACGTCCAATTTTATAGCTCCCCTAATTGTAAAACCTTCAAATTTTAATAGACATTACTTATTTGTCGGAATGGTTGTCGGAATAAAAAAAGTGTCGGAATCTTCATGGTATTGCACCATCGAACGGACTTGTTGGATTAGTAATGTGTCTGGAGAAACCTTAGACGTACTCGTTCATCACTCCGAGTAACTGATCATCAAGTAAAGCCTTTCCGTACTGTCCTCGTCCAATGACCTCGAACACGGTGTAAGGATGACGAGGAAGCCAGAACAAAACGCGCAACCATGTATCGATGAACTCGACAATCCCGTCGCGATTGCATTAATCTTGAAATGCCTCACCCAACGTTACTTTGAACTGAGTCTTATCGTCGAGTGTTTCTACCATCATGGCTGAGATATACTTCCTATCACTAATCGCCATATAGACGACGACAGTACGCCTTCAGGACGTGGTCCGATGGACTACCGAGTTTGTCAGGTGCCATGGAACTGGAATGGCGTCGAAGATCGATATCGTTATACAAATCAGTTTCGGTTTAACCTGTCTTGGTCCACCCGTCCATCAAAATGCTCATTACTTTCCCGCCAAACAATTATCCGCAAGAAAAGTCGACTTTTTGTGCAGTATGATGAGTCTTGCTAATTCGACGTCGTTTAGTGTAGGATAAAGTTCCACGAGATTGTATCGTGGCATCATCTGGGATGCGATAGGCTTGATCGCTTCAGTCAACCACTGCGACTCATACGGCGCGAGCCTTCTTTCTTCATCGTTCGTTGTCCCGTCTAACATCAGCAGTGCGTTGGTGTAAGATATGTGGTTGTGGTCCTCGTCTGACGGGCTTGCCTTGGCAGAATTTGAGAAATCGCCCACCGCGAAGCTCGTATCTTTTGAGTTGCTGTCGGCGCGTGGGCGGAGCGCGGATGAGGCGAGAGTACAGAAGAGAAAACGCGCATGATAAGCGGTTCCTGACAGGGGGCGATAAGTTGCAATGACTCCTGTAACGGGGTTATGCATCGGTATAATCCGGTTCGATTGTGTTGAATACACCACGTAGAGTATCCTCTCGATCTTCATGTCGATCAGACCTTACCCGTTTGTGGGACTGACACTTGTCGGCCACCGGATTGGAAATCCTCTGATATTACTCATCTAGGACTATAAGGTCCAGATCAAGAATGATGTAATCGGGTGTTTATTAATATAAAGCGAAGAAAAGTTGATTATCATTGTGATCTTACAGCTCTCCCTGTCTTCTCAAGGCTTGCAATCCGATATCGAAGAATTAGAGGCCTTTATAGGCATATATCCTTAGTAACTAATGACCGTATGATTCCCCGAATCACTAGGCCCCTGAACACGAACTAAAAAGCTCTTTGAGCTTGTGTGACTCTCGGAGTCTAAACTTATTTGCTATTTGAGAACTAAGTGGACTTGAGTCATTAAGTTAGTTCCGTGTAACGAATGTATATAGAGCCTCCAAGTCTTCCTCTGACGTAGGAGCTAAGGTAGATCCGCTACAACCGAGATCTGGAGTCAAAAGCTCGCTTGACTTGCTGGGCAGAATTTGTTGGAGAGCCGTAATTTGGGAAGAGCAAATTTTGACGTCGTCCATGTTTCCCGCCGTTCCGACTCTGATGCAAGTCATCTCTTCTATATGCATAAAGTGTCTCTGTTCTACATGGACCACTGGTGTATACTGTTGCAGTATGACAGATGTACTTGGTGAGTATATCAGGTCACGCCTAGATGATATTTGATCACACATAAAATGAAGCCTTTCGCATGATCGTGTGCAAATTGTAGCAAGAAGTTGGACTATAAATAGAGACCGATGATTTTATGGTGTTCGATTAATCAAATCTAAAGTCAGATAGCAGGGAGAAGAACAGCATGTTACCTGTGGGTATGTAGTAAAGAATGAGTGTGGGTAAATGCCACTTCTTACAGTCAACCCAGAAACCGAGCCATACCGGAACGTTGGCTCGTCAGGCGCACGAACATGAGTTCTTGTCTGCCACAAGATGATGAAAGTAATAAGACAACACATCAAGGACGTACCGTTTCGTTTAAACATACACAATAGGGAGATGACAACGACCTGCATGAGTAGGAGTAGTGGATTGGGCTCACTCGGGGGGGACCCCAAATCACTCATTGTGCCGGGCTGCCGACTTATGGTGGGGTACTCCGACGCCTCGTACGAACTTTGAATCACCTTTATAACCCATCGACTGTCATATATGCAACTTGACTTTGTTCGTCTTTCTGACGACGGATTCGGGAGGCCGCTTCCAATAGAGGGTATTGAGAGGGGGGTTGCCATGTGACAAACCCACAGGCCTAATTCTTCGAGGAACTTTGCTTGCTCTTGGTTTCTCCGCGCAACTATCTTCGAAAGGGGGCCTAGGTATATCCTTTCTCCATATCAGGCTTGTATACCTAGAGGATCTTTGGGGGCGCAACTTGACGAACCCACAGGCCAATACTTCCTAAGGCTCTACTTCACTTGGTCGTGCTACGCAACTGTCTCCAATGGGCGTTGAAGTATATCTCTCCCCTGGAACAGGCGTGCATACCAAGTGCAAATTACTTCAATCACGACAAAGACGTGTCATTTCGATCGCAAATTTAGTAGCGTTTGATATATTCCTATCCTTTACTCCGTTACACATACCCTTACATTGTGTCCGACTTCCTGATTTGACTGCCCAGGAAAAGCGTGACTTGGAGACCCGACGTCCGCCTTGAGGGACCAGGGTCCACCATGAGGGGTCGTGGTTCATTTCTTTCAATATTACTAGACTAGAAGCCTAACCACGGTGTTCTCGTTTCTTGATCCCGCCAATATTTCTCCTGTACCTTACCCTTCGCCTCCGGGAAATCGCCTCCGGGGTATTTTTCTCTCCGGGACCTTTACCTGGTGTGCAACCCCTTAGCTCTCCCATCGTCGGCCTCCAGGGACTCCAATTAATAAAGGACGCTTCGTCATATACGTAAGAGTGATCCCAAAAACGTTTGTATTCGGACGTAAGTTATCCATCGTTGATGCATTTTCTCTTTTATCCTGATGTAAAGGCAACTTATCTTGGAATGGTTGGGGCGCTTTTTTTATGTTGCGGTTCAATTTCCACTTTATGATTGTTTCATTCATTTTTGTACATTCTCGTTTTCTGATAAAATCCGTTTTCACTCCCCTTTCGACGTCAGGAAGATCATCTACAATGTCACAGGGCTTTTAATTCTTACAGTGTGTAGCCGAAAACGTCATCATGCTAGGACGACGTTAATGCTATGCAGTTTATTTCAGGTTTTGATAGAGGTATCCCTGATCTCTTTATCTACTTGCACCGAGAAAGAGAAGGATGCAAGGCTATATTCACATAAGTCTTGGGAATCGCTTACAAAATGGAGAAGTATTCAGTGCGGTATTGCACACGTCAACGAGCTGTGACACACCGAACGATGAAGTCTTTCTCTTGGCAGAACACAATCACAAAATTTGGATGGCAGCGTGTCTTTTATCGGACTCACACAGTGGGAAATGTGTTCTCGGCAGGCGCAATGTCATATCCTTCACATGTCCGGCGATGCATAGCGTGGTACAAGTCGCCATCCTGCGGTTGAACTTACCCACAAATGACATGTAGTTTCATGCCGTGGAAATCACGGCCGCTGAAGTAGGTTCTGCTTTGTCATGCGAACGTCGATCACGACTCGTTTCCAAGCACGGAAGATATCACGTGTTCGTGCCGATCCCAAGAAACTCAAAGTCTTGTCAAGGATGCACACATGAGTGTAGGCTATCGGGGTCATCGGTGAGTGTTTAGTGATGTCTATATCGAGGTGCATCGACGCCATGACGGATAGCGTGGGCAGGACTTTGCTTCCACTAGCAGTAGCGCCGTTGTAAGTACTTTCCATGGTACTATAGAAACGGCTTTTGCGCAGCGTTTGTCTTCAACAACAAAATCAACCAGCAATCGCTCGTGACACAGATGAAGTAATTTTTGAAGAGGTGACAGTGGACGAATAATGGTCCATATCGCAGCTTTTCGTGCTATAACAAGTTCTCTGAGCTTGCTTATGAGTCCCAGACAAAACATCCCGAGCAAAGAGAACACTCTTCCAAACGATGGCTTGTCTACGCATTAATAGTGTGCGTTCCTGATTTTTGAATCGCGCACAGTAGCCAGGATGCTTCGACTTGACGTTTTGGTTGTACTAAAACAACGACGGATTTGGTAAACGTAACGGTGTAGAGTCTCGGACAGCAAATTAAAAGCCAGACTGCGCGGGTGTATCCGTGTGATGCAACGAGGCACGCTCTTGCCTATTACTGGTACCCGTTGTGTGTGTTTTTGGCACAAGGTCGCGTGCTTTGGACGCCATTCACACGTGAGCGTGAGGAAGCGCGAGGTAGAGAACAGAGCTTATGAAGCTCTGAATTGGGGAAAATGTAGAACTGAGTTGAATTTCGTTATCTTTCTTTCGATCAACTCTCTTTGTCTTAGTTTGACTATATTAAAGTACAATATCCGTTGTAGAATCCTCGCTCACCACCCATTGCGCGCGTCTAGCAGCGACTGGTGTTTGATTTGGTTGACACAATGGCCTTTATGACCCATTTGTGGAGCGGCCACAAATATTACCCTAGAAGGTAATATTCCATCAATATTTCCTTCGCCAGGTAATATTGACGAACATAGTCAGCTAAGATAAGGTTCACGCTGATATATCTACGTATCCTAAACACGTAAAGGGCTCACCCGTTACATATACGTACGTAGCTATACTACCAGTGTCGTTTTCAGATCTACCCTCACTCCACGACCAGGTATTGATCGTCGAGACATGTGTACGTATGGCTATAGCACCATCAAAGCACTCACTTGTGGCATCAAATGTAGATCTTGCAGCATTGAAAGCGCAAATGGGTCTCGCTCGGGTACCCACCCAGTTGTCATCTGCATGCTTCAACGAGACACCCGGCAGCAGACGCTCGCCAGTTGATGCGCCGCGAATACAATCTGAAGAGTGAAAACTAGTGCAGACAAATGTGACGTTGTAACGTGTGCGTGAAGGTCGCAATTTCGATATCGATTCGTCGCTGTTGAACTGCGCTCCTTCTACTCACCGGAAGCCGTCTTTGATTGAATGAGTCGACCATCACTGCGTTCAGGAACTGCTGCGTGTCAGCATCTTAATCTACAGCTATGTTGTCCGGAAAGCTCATCCCATCGAGCCAAACAAGTTGACTCCCATCATCGCTTGTCCGAGCTGCCATACAGGCGTAGCCGTCGCTGGCGCAAAACCCACTGCGAGTTGTGACTGTCATTGCAGGTGCTTCGTCGCGTCAAGCAGCAGTACTTCGCAAAGCAGCACAAACTCTTCGGCATTGCTTACGCCATCAACTACGTTCATATGCCAAGATTTAGTTCGATCCCTTTGCGTCGGGTACGACTGTAAGACGTCGTGGTCCTTCTAGAAAACCTGACGTTTGTCGTCGTCTTCTAGTGGCGCTCGACGCACTATCCACGTTCCATCGTTCGTCGTTGTCGACTAAAGCCATTCGTCACGTTGCTTCGAGCGTTATTATGCGACAGGTTAAGTGGTCGACTCGTTTCGCTTTGTGTCAAAAAGGTCCGAGCTGTAGTAGTAGTAGTAGTCGTAGTCGTAGTAGTAGTAGTCGTAGTCGTAGTAGTAGTAGTAGTAGTAGTAGTAGTAGTAACGTGATTGAAGACGAATCAGCGACAGTAACAGCCGTCAAGAGCGACGACGTTCCACTATGGAAGTCACGATGGTGAAAAAAACCTCCCAAACTTTGTTCTCTCTTTTTCACCAGTGTGCGCGTCGGATCAGTTTTTGTACGGAAAAGTGCCATTCTGACAAGAGCTCAGCCGCCGCAAGTCGCACGTGGTCCGACCCGGCGCGCTGCGACACGCGTCCACCAGCCGCTTCTGAGACGCAGTGCACGCGCAGCGCTCTGTGCTCTCGTGGAAATGTCCTTCTTGCCGATCGTTGTCGAGCGCTTGTGGACTTCCGCTTACGTGTTCACGAAAGGGCACGACGTTTGCACGTGCTGAGCTTCTGCAGTGCCCGACGAACGAGCAGCAGCAGCAATGCGGTGCGGACTTGGCAAGTGCAGACCAAGCGGTCGCTGTGCTGAGTGGGACGTTAGCAGCAGCTGTGCTCGTGTACGCGATGCTCCCGATCGTGAGAGCGAGAAATAGCTCGAGACGGCGCAGTCCCTCGAGTGCGCGTGGAGCTCGACATCGGGTACGGGCGCAATTAAGTGACGGCGTCTGTGGCTGTGAGTCTGTGGGAGTGAATCGTGACGAACGTCAGGGCACCAGACGGAATGTCGGAGGAGGGCACGCTGCTGGATCTGAGCTGGTGCTGGCTAAGCTCCCCGAGTTTAATGGTGCGTTGACGATTGCTAGGTGGGTTGTATGCCGTGAAAGTGACAGTTGATTAACGGCTGGCTACTTTGTAGACGAACGGGGATGGCGGCATTTTTTTGACGCGCAGATTTACAAGATTGGGTATAAGGAAGAGCAGCACCCAGCAGCAACAATCGTGTCGCAGATCACCAGTCTAGAAAGCCTGAGACCGAGAGACACACGTGTTCCTTCATGCACTGAACTACGTCGACAAAAGGTAGACATTGCTACAGCAACTGCAGCGAGAGACGAGAGGTACAGGACGATTCGGGACAAAATCAGTCGTGCAGCAGCGAAAGCAGCTGTTGACGATGCCCAGATGTTTAACGAGTTTTGGCAGATGTGAGCCGTGGACGTTCTCAAATTGTAAAAGTGATGATGCGAAGGAAGTATCGAGTATGGAGGCAGACGAACAAAGGGTCATCTGTGGCGTTGACGCGCGTTTACGATGAAAGATTGGGCATGTCAGCTCATGGGTGGCCCGTTGTTCGTAATGTTGCTAAGTAATTGTCTGTGTGCGAGTTTGTCGATGCATACATGGCGTGCGATGAGAATTTACGTTCTTTAGGTATCTCACCAACAGTAAGATCCCAAGGGCTCGTGACGTCAAAAAAACAACGCTTTGGGCAAAACAAGTGACGCTGTGGGCAAGTGGATGTAAGCGAACAGTATCTTCCTGGTGGGCTAAAGAAAAGAGATGCATGCAATGTGGTCATTCGCAACGAAGCTCACATGGACTCGAGCAATCGCAATGACTGTTGCTTTATGTACGAATGCCGCAGTGTAACGAGCACGGAGCAATGTAACAAAAGGCAACAAGCCAGCACGATGATGAAGAAGCAGGTGCACGTAGATCAGTCGCGTAGGGGTTTTGGCCGCCAAACGTTGTCGGTCCTTCATTGCACTGAGCCAGATCGCCCATGTTGTCGCGGTGCGACACCAGTCGTGTTAAGTAACGACTGGTGTGTCGATCAACTACTACGGCAACACGATCTTTGCATCGACGTTGTTGGATGTACGAGTTCCCACAGCTTGTCATGCGTCAACATCAAATGGACGGGACGACTGATGGTCTGCATTTAGAAAGCGGATGTAATTCGTGGCATGATCGGATCCAAGATCCAAGATCCAGTGACCATACTAGTCAGCCTGATCGGCCACAGCCTCAACTTCGACCTCTCCTGCGGTATCGCTCAATATCCGGTCAAATGATTAGAGCTTTGCGTCCTTTACGTCCGTATCATCCTACGAGAAGCACTAACATCGAGATATGCAAACAAATATACAAAAGTCGGCGCCATTTATCCTTTTCACGACCGCTCGATGGAAGGAAATCCTACAGCTCTGCAGTTACGGATCAATTAGTGATAACGTTTTTCCTACAGTCAGAACGTATGGCGTGTTCACAACGTCTCTTGACTTGCGCTACAGAAAAAGGGGCGGCCACCTCGACCCACGAATCGTCTCGAAGGATTGTGAAGTAACAACTCGTCGAACCACGGGCGACCACGCCCCACGAGCACGAACCCCGCGCCCGATCCTGCGGTTACTTCAACTGGTGTCGGGCACCCCCACTCCCGCCTCGCCTTGCAACTACTTCATTCACAGCATGAAACCCCGCGACGCGAGCGAACAGCTCCGAGCGCGTGAGCTGTGGCGCCCGTCCGTCGAGACGGCGCTGGCGCTGCTCGCGTTCCCCCGCGCTGTGTCTGCACTGGTGAGTCCCATTGCGGACTGCGACGAGACGTTCAACTACTGGGAACCGCTGCACTATTTGCTCTACGGCTTTGGGTTCCAGACGTGGGAGTACTCGCCCGTGTATGCCCTCCGCTCGTACGCATATCTACTGGCGCACTACGGGACCGCCAAAGTGCTGTCAGTTGCCCTCACGCTGCGCCTCTTCCCGCTTGACAAACTGCTGCTGTTCTACGGGCTGCGCGCGAGTTTAGGTCTGCTATGTGCCTACGCAGAGGCGCAGTTCTACTACTCGACCAGCAAGTGCTTTGGTCGACGGACAGCGCGCTATTTGCTGTGCCTGTTGCTCGTGAATGCCGGTATCTTCCATGCAAGCACTGCGCTGCTGCCCAGCTCGTTCACGATGGTTCTCATTATGCTCTTTACAAGCGCGTGGATGGACAAGCGCTACTATCGCGCATTGGGGTACGGAATAGTGGCTGTACTGTGTGGCTGGCCGTACGTAGGTGTTCTCTTTGTCCCATTTACGGTCGAGACACTCTACGCTCGTGGATGGACGAAGAGCATCTTGGCGGGCGTAGCTATTGGTGGAGCGGTTTTGGCGCTAGAATTGCTTGTCAATCATTACTACTATCGCCGCTGGGTTCTCCCGGCGTGGAACATTCTCGTTTACAACGTGCTGAGCAACGAGACGGACTCGACGCTGTACGGAACGGAAGCGCTGAGTTACTATGTCATGAACTTGGCACTCAATTTCAACGTGGTGGCTATATTGGCAGTGCCTGTGGCGCTGTTTGTTTTCATGCTGCCGATGGATTGTGAGGCTGGGAGAATGCAATTGCTGGCGTATTTGTCCCCCATGTATATTTGGCTGATGATCATGTTCAGCCAGGCACATAAGGAAGAGCGGTTTTTGTCCCCTGTGTACCCACTCATCTGTCTCGCGGCTGCAACCACATTGAGTGCAGTGGTGTGCCGCATCGGACGATTGTTCAGTCACGCCAGTTCCGTGGGTCGTGTGCTCTCGCACTTGTTCGTAGTAGGCACGTTGGGCATTTTTTCAGTGTTGTCCGTTTCCCGAGTGGTAAGCAACGTCCTCAACTTCGGCGCCCCGCTTCGTGTGTACCAGCATCTCTATGCCCAGGTGCTACTGAATCCTGAGACCAGTGTGCTCGTTGAAGGCACGACGGCAGCAACATTTACAGAGAACTTGTGCATCATGAAAGAATGGTACCGTTTTCCGACAAGCTTTTTCATCCCAACCAACCGCACCAAGGTGCAATTTGTCAAGTCGTCGTTCGCAGGCCTTCTGCCGAAGCCTTTCGAGGAGCACGAAAACGGCACTTCGATTATTCCCAGCGCTATGAACGACCGAAATCGCGAGGAGGCGAGTCGATACGTGTCCATCGAGGTTTGCGACTATGTTGTCGACCTGAACTTGCCCAACCAGAAAGAAGTCAAGCTGTGGGAGGAGCCTGCAAAGTGGGAGCTTGTGCATTCAGAGCCGTTTTTGGACACAGAGCGATCCAAGTCGCCTTACCGATCGTTTTACATCCCTATGCTGACGCCTCAGCACGTCCATTACGTAGATTATGCGATTTACAAGCGCAAGCAAGCTGCAGCTAACCGTGAAACAAGCACAAGCGTGTAGAGCTTTGTGCCCCGTTTGCCAGGGTCTGTCGAGAATGTGCAAGAAAGTCGAATCAATCAGGGACGTAGCAAAGCGCGCCGAATGCAGACACTTTGAAACGAATGCAAGGGATGCAAGAGATGCGCAGTATGTTGGATTCGTGACGACCGTCTTCGGATAGCTCATGGTTCGCTCCAAGCCGCGGCATTGCTGCTTGAAAATCGCCTAGCAGCGCTTCGGTCCCATTGAAGACGCATCGAGTCAGACGCATCGAGGCATCGAGTTGCTTCCACCTGCTTCATCGAGCAGCTCAACTGATCGAATGTTGGATTGTACTACGCGACTCACACTTGTCCAGCAGTTTCTAGTGCGAAGACTTTGAATGGAATTGTGATGGCGCCGTCGCTTGAGCTATACACAAACGAGTTTGCACGATGGTTAGTATTGCAATCGGTCTGCCAGCTCCTGTCATTTCGTGATCGGCGGCTCCAATGTTGGGTCATAATAACCATCACGACACCGTCGTGTATTGTGCAGGGGACAAGGACACAACACAGTGGCCGTCTGTCTGATCGTTCTCCCAACTTGCGGCCCCACGTATCACATAGCTGCGAAATGGGAGCAGGTCAACGTCCATTCCTGTGGCTGAAAAATCAATGCGGTCCTCTCACTGTTCCACGAATCTTTGCCGCCGAGTCAGGTCGCGACGCCACATGCACATGGTAAGCGAAAAGCACAGCTCGATTTGCGATTGTAAAGGCAAAAGTGACAGTAAAACGATATCAAATGGCGGTGCGAAAATAACAACACGACGACCAGTCGGCGATCAACTGCACCTAATCCTGCGAAATGTAGTGCGTGCCCACTGACACGGGGCTATGCAGAGCCGCCCACGCGATCTCCTTGGCGGTACGGACCGCGTTGCGCAGCCCCGCAGTCTCGCGGGTAATGCGGCACTCCTGGTGCAGCTTGTCCGCCTTGACCTCGAGCAGTGCGAGCTTGTTCACCGCGCTTTCCATGCCTGCTTTCGTGCGCACAGGCCCCACAGACTCCCACATGATGCGCTGCGTGGCCAGCATCACCTCCTCGACTTCGTTCGGGTACGCGTCGCGAAAGCCATTCAAGTGGACCAACAAGTCTTCCGCCTCCCTGCGGCTCTTCACGTCGGGCAATGGCTTGCGCTGCTGCATGAAATCGTCAGCGGCACTGCAGCCCCACACCAGTCCTTCCAGCAGCGAAGTCGAAGCCAAACGGTTCGCACCGTGCAGACCCGTGCAGCTCACTTCGCCAGCAGCATACAGACCAGCGACCGACGTACGGCCGTGCAGGTCGACCTCGACACCGCCGCAGTGGTAATGAGCGGCCGGGACCACTGGCATCGACTCCTTCGTCATGTCGATCCCACGGTCCAAGCAGTGCTGGTATATAGTCGGGAACCGGCCCTTGATCCACTCGGCCTTTTCGTGCGAAATGTCCAGGTACATGCACACGTCGTTCTGCTTTGCCATCTCGGCCAAAATGAGGCGGGCCACCACGTCCCGTGGCGCCAGCTCGCCGTCCGGGTGGTAGTCCTTGGCGAACGCGCGGCCGCTCTTGTCGCGCAAGATCGCACCCTCTCCCCGCAGCGCTTCCGTCAGCAAAAAGCGGCGCTCGTCCGGCATATACAGCGTCGTCGGGTGGAACTGCACGTACTGCATGTTCTTGAGCTTCGCCCCGGCGCGGGCCGCCAGCGCAATCCCTTCCCCGCGGGCCCCTTCCGGGTTCGACGTGTTCTCGTACACGTCGCCCACGCCGCCCGTCGCCAGCAGCGTAAACGCAGCGCTGAAAAACTCCACGTCGCCTGCCGTCGACACCGTCAGCGCGCCAATGCACTCGCCGGCGGCGTTCGTCACGAGCTCAAACGCGCTGCGGCCCGTGAGCAGCGTAATCCCCGGATGCGCGTGCACGGCCTGCACCATACTCGTCGAGATCGCGCGGCCCGTGTGGTCGGCCGTGTAGAGGATGCGCGCGCGGTTGTGCGACGCCTCGAGCGTGAGCGCGAGCGCGCCGTCGCCCTGGCGCGTGAACGGCACGTCGGCCACATCCAGCAGCAGCTCTTCCACGCGCGTGGGGCCTTCGCGCGCGAGTTTCTGCACGGCCGCGTCGTCGCACACGCCGGCGCCCGCGCGGTGCACGTCCGACGACAGCAGCGCGGGCGAGTCGTCGGGGCTCTTGTAGATAATGCCGCCCTGGGCGTAGAACGTGGCGCAGTGGTTCGGGTCCAGCGCGGCCGCCACCATCGTCACCTGCACGCCCTGCCCCGCGAGCCGCAGCGCGGCCGCGTTGCCCGCGACGCCGCAGCCGAGCACGAGGGCGCAGCACGCGGTCGTGTCAAACGGGACACGCGGCGACGACGCGCGACGGGCGACGGGGGCGGGCAAGAGACGGGGCGTGGCGGGCCGACGCGCAAGAGACGGGTCGGCTGCCGTCGTGGCAAACGATTGGCAGAGCCGGCGATAGGGCGACGGCGCCGGGCCCGCACGCCCCCGGGCGAGCAATTCGAGGTGGGTCATTCGAGCGAGGTAACAGGCCGACCGGTCCCGTCTCTTGGTCGCCGAACGCGCGTGGAAGAAAAAGGCAAAGAAAACTTGCAGCGGCCCGCGGCGCTTAGTGACTGGCAAAGTACACGGGGTACTTCTTGTTGAAAGTCCACGAGCTCTTCACAGACATCCAAAGCGGGCGCGACGGACGCAGGAGAGCGGAGCGACACTGCACGCGCGAGCAACGGGCCGAGCGCGAGAGAGCAACTGAAGGCGGAGTGAGCTCGGGGCTGCAAATTTCGTAATGAACGGATTGCGTTACCCGACGAGCGCGTGGCCCCTAGTCGTCGCGTGACTTGAAACCACTACGGGACGAGCATGTGACTGGGCCGTTGTATGGACCGGATCAGACGCGCGCGGCAGTCAACTGCCTCCTCTACGCAAGTACAAGAACCGCTCGCGATGCAGAAAAAGGCGAATCCCTCGAATATTCGCTTGATTTTTTGCCGGGCGGCGGAGAGCCAGTGCGGAGCGATCCCTCCCGTAGCCAAGCGACGAGACGTTTTGTTCTTCGCACCGGTCTCTGTGCGTCGTCCAGCAGAAAGCGCAACCCGCCTTTCCTCCCCCCTCCCCCTGTGGTTGTCTGTGCGTCAGCGAGCACCGGATCGCGGCCGCTCTACGACGAGGACAGAGTGAGGCAGTAGAAGCGGGAGCGGCCGCGCACTGATGTTGCCCATTTGTCACGCACGCCACCCAACGTGTTGGTAGCTGCTGCCCATCCATCATCAGATGCGACGACGGTGTGTCTCCCGGCAGGTAGGGCAGGTGTAGGGATTCACGACTGTTCGCTCGCCGTCCTGCGGCGCGCATGACAATGGACATGCTGACAAGACGTTTCGGGGATCGAGGCGCTGCTCGAGTGACCCGACACCTATGCGAAAAAAATGCGATGGATGCGGTTCGACTTCGTACAAACGTTGGCTGATTGATGGAGAATGTTCGACCGTGGAAGGCTCGGCGCTCGATCTGCAAAGCTCGATTCGAGAAGTCGAAAGTGAGGTCAACAGGGTGATTGGCAGCATGACGGGCCTTAGTTACCGTTGCGCAGCTCACACCTTGTGAGTGCTGCTTCAGCAAGCCAGCGTTCCATATCAATTACCACGCGATACTGATTGCATGCACTCGTTTGTGCGCTTACCTTCGACTTGGCAGATGGCGGTTTTCTTTTGCTTGCGTACTTGGAAGATCGATCATCCTTGATCGTAGCAAGTGTATGTTGACCCCCTTACGAGCGTATCTGATACAGACGTCCTAAGTCGTCTAAGGTTCCACTTTGGTCTTGTGCGTTGCACTCTGTTGCGGTGGTGAAGCACTGCGATGCGTGCTCTGTATCGTCCAACATGTCCGGTCTCCTGACCCTTGGACCAAAGTCTACTTCTCGTCATGTCGTCGTTGTCGTCCCTTTTGCCAGCACTCAAGTTGCGAGAGATGGGTCGACCAGTAGGTTGGGGACGCTGTCACTTGCATATGCTGATACATGCTTGCTAGTACGATCGCACGTAGCGTTTCGTTTGCCGCCCTAGTTGTCATGATCGTACAAATTCCCGACCGATGCCTGCCTGAAACGTAGGAACTGATGACAAAAATGCTGTTTGATTTAGCAATGGAGGCTTCAGGGACATCACTTATTCCAAAGCAGCTCGTTCTTGTTAGCACGATATGGAGTTTTTCTCTACGATCGCATGCTGACGTATGGAGCTAGCTACCAACCGATTCATGGTCGATTAAGATAGAAGTAGTTTCGGAACCGCCACAGCTTCTTGCGCACGATGATCGCAGACGCCGATCGCATGCGCAATGAAGATGACAACAGCATGGAGAAGAATTGGGAGCACGTTGTGTCACGTCGGATGCCGAAAAAAGCGAAGCGACTAGGAGAATTTTGTCGGCTGAGCTTCTTTTCACGTAGTCGTTTGGCGAACGGACTTGTGCTACATCCTTTCGGCAATGACGCATACAATGGGACAGACGCAAGGACAAGGGAATGGCCGTCGTGCGAATACATACTGCCGTCGTCATTTATCGAATTCAATGTATAGATTTCGATGAATGACGACAGCAGGACGAAACGATCGATAGCATTTTACTGCGATGGACCGCACCAACAGGATCGATAAACTTGGTACCTTTCCTTTACGATAGGGTAAACCGTGACCGTGAAGCCGATAGGAACAAAAGGGAAGCATCGATTGTTGCTATGTCTGTACGGCTTGGTGACGAAGGTGCCCGAGCGCATCGTGCCGGCGGAACAAGCGATACCATTGCGGCAATGATACACACTTGGTGTATGGTAAAACTAGACAGCGGAAAAAAGTGCAAGGTTGGGGCAAAGCTAGTGGAACGTGAATGCGCGGGGCGGCCTTTTGAAGCTCTCGGAAGCGACATTTACCAGGTCGTGAATAACAACACCTATATATACGAACGGATTGCTCATAGCGTAGCATCAAACTAGGAACCAGTGGCTCTGACGCGCCTCCTGGCGTGTCCTTTCGGCCTGACCTACCGAGTAGCAGATTTTTAATCTTACCCTTGTTAGCGGTGTCTTCGAGAGCGCCAAGCATGCCATAAACACCTGATCGTCGGCATCATGAAGCTCGGATCTGTCACAGAGTTGTTAGATTGATTTGCTGACTCGAATCATTATGGTTGAGGAAAGGGTTTTGATGATCTACAAATGACCACATCGTCTGGAAAGTTGGCGAGTTATGATCCATGCAATCAGTAGTCTTCATTCCGACTTGGCGGTGTGACGGTGTTTGCTGTTCCTAACACACAAAAATCTATGTGCAAAAAGTTAGGGTTTTGGAAAAGTTGAGTTTCAGCGGCAGCTGAATGCCAAGTGGATTTCTGTCCGCTAGATTGGGACAGTATTTCGATTCGACGAAGTGTTGTCAACTGTATTTACTGACGTATGCGTTATGAGATTTGCTGCGCAGCTTCCGGCTCTTCTTTACGATCATGAATGGATGATCGTATTATTAGAGCATTTTTGGCGCGAAGTTAGATCCGAATTCTAAATCTTTCGCTTATATTGGATTCAATAAGCGCGATATGCAACGGGATGAGCCCCGTCATAATGCTGACACCAAATTGGGTCTATGGAAATATTATTGTAATTAATAATACTTTCCAATATTTACCCATTTTAGCTAATATTGCAGGATTATTACCTTCGAAGGTAATAGTCGGCACTACTCGGCTCATTATTTTGTGTAGACTATCGTACCGACCAACTAAACCACCAATCACTGCTAGACGAGCGCAATGGGTAGCGAGAAAGTAATTACATTTATGACGGTTGCTATGATCAAGTATGGTCAAGTAGATATGTTTATGGAGTCATTAGTCAGAATTGTCAACAATATTACTTACAATTTTACATAGCACCTTTGCCTAATAAAACAGCCTTCCTCTGCACGTACGTGCACGTGAGGTATCATAAAAACCTCCTTACACTGTAGTTAGCGCGCGTAGTTTGTACTGTGTCAGTACACGCTTTTGGTGCCCCGTTACAACAACGGCTTTTCCAACTCGAGACTAATTAACCTCGTGTATTTCAAAACAGAGCTAACGATTTCTCCTGTGTAGTGTTTTTTTACGCTTAATTGGAAATCGACAAGCGTTTGCAAGCAGTTTTCGAAGTACAATTTCAGCTGTATATAGATGCGTATTAGCATGGGGTAAGATAGTGGTAAGGTGGAGTGGTTCTCGCAAAAAAAGACCGATGCGTAGCTTAACCTCCACTGCTGCCCGGACAATCGACTGACGGAGGGGGGCCCGGACCGTGCGTATTGTCTTTTTCCACTTCAACCTTTGCGCCCGTCGGCACGCAGCTCGCACTCTTCTGGGTGAATTGATGTAGGTGTCTGTCTTGACTGAGTTGATGATAGGCTTGGTGTGGTCACGTTCTACATCTTCAAACAGCCAGCGGTTATTTGAAGCGCTCTCCTATAGTCTACCTGACTTTCCTTGTGGTCGCCTTGTCCAAATTTAGATACTCAATCCACTTGTTCTTCTGACCATTTGAGCCGTTTGAAAACCTTACCTTATAAATCTTGCAGCGTCCGGTCGCGGGCTAACTTGGATGAGTTGCCTTGTCCCTCGCCAAGCAAAGTAAGGACCAACCTGTAGCAGACACGTGCGCAAAAACCTTGTACGTCGGTTGACCGCTGATTTTACAACCTTTTAGGGATGCTGAGGCGTTTATTGTGTACGAAAATCAATTTTGCTTGTTATTTATTGATTAGCGTCTATAACTACGCTATGCCTATCTATATCTCAGTTTCTGTGACGTGCTTTGTCTCCCACCCCACCTATTTGTACCAATTATGTGATGCACTTCCGCTGACCGAGACCTGTGATTCCCCTAATGAACTTGACCGCTGGTCAACAATAGTGACCTTGATCGTTCACCCATGCCCCGGTACCGTTAGCATTCTTCTATCCTCAGTCCAATGTAAGGGCATTATATCGATGGTCAGTCCCACAGCGTCCGTGACAGGTCACAGGCTTGTTTGATCTTGGCAACAGAGGTAATCGTATTGTTCTTGATCGCTTAGCTACAGTGGTGTCTTCATGCGTGCTTTTTGGACAAAGTGATATTCTCATCATTAAAGCTAAGTAAGTAAACGTCCCAGTTGCGAAGTTCTCAGGAGTCAGCCGCACAATTAGCCAGCTTAATATCTGTTATATTGATGAAGCACGAATCAGTGGTCCACTTGCACACTTCATAGCACCAATGTCCTGATCCTACTTTGTTAAGCGCGAAATGTGCAGATATAATCTTACAATTAGGAACCCCAAACATCTACTAATCACCTGTTCGGAGAGTTCCTATACATGTTGGGTATATTGCTAACCAAATTAAGCACAACCTCAGTAGCGAGACGATTTCCAGGGTCACATCATCGTTCATTTCACTGTATGGACCAATAGATCCAGACAGCGATATGATGGAGTGGGATTGACAAAAT